AAAATGATTGTTAATTAATATATTACAATATATTTTATTTGTGCGAATTATTTTGAACGCATAATAGTTTCGTATTTTTCCAAAGTTTTACGCGCGGTTTTTTAAAAAGTGACGTCATCAGCGAAAATAGAACAAGCGCCATCTCTCCGGCGAACAGGATGAACTACACGGTTTTGAAACAGCAGTTTCGTTAGTTTTCCAAACTGCCACTAGACAGCGCCACGTGAAAATGAAGCCAGCGCCATCTCTCCGGCGAACAGGGTGAACTATACGTTTTTGAAACAGTAGTTTCGTTAGTTTTCCAAACTGGCACTGGACGGCGTCACGTGCATCGTTTTTTATTAAATAAACACTGGCGCTATTTCATACTATTTTACAAGTAGAGAAATGTTATAACATTTGGGCATAAAAATTAACAAATTTGAATTTTTTATTTTATTTTGATTATTTCCTGAATTATGAGTACATTAAATGAAAAATCAGAAAATCATTCAGATGATAAAACAATGATTTCGAATGAAAATATAACGAAAAGTAAAGAAACATGTATTGAAACTGAGAAACATGAAGAGTATCAGTATTTGAATTTGATTGAGACAATAATTAAAACAGGAAATGAAAAGGATGATCGTACCGGTGTGGGCACGTTGTCTATCTTTGGAACTCATATGCGATTTAATCTACGAAATGGTAAAGATATTTAATTAATTATTAATGTATTTTTATAAAGAATTCGTTTTCCTTAAAGAATATTTTATACAATTTTATATACATAGTCCATTCTAATTCTTTTATGAAAAAATTGTTATAATGATAAATTAATTCAGAACATTGATCATTATAGGTGTGTTTCCATTATTAACTACAAAACAAGTGTTTTGGAGGGGAGTAGTAGAAGAATTGTTATGGTTTATAAAAGGATCCACAAATGCAAAAGAGTTATCAGAGAAGAATGTTCATATTTGGGATGCAAATAGTTCGCGTACATACCTAGATTCTTGTGGATTTACTGACAGAGAAGAAGGAGATCTGGGACCTGTATATGGATTTCAATGGAGACATTATGGAGCAGAGTACAAGAACATGCATACTAATTATAAAGGGCAAGGTATGTATTTTATTTGTAACTAACTGATTGTGAATACTCAAGAATTGACTCTCTTATTAATATTTTAGTGTAATTATTTTATATTTATAGGCATTGATCAGCTGAATGAAGTTATAAACAAAATAAAACATTCTCCTAATGATAGGAGAATAATAATGTCAGCATGGAACCCAGTTGATATACCAAAAATGGCTTTACCTCCATGTCATTGTTTTGTACAGTTTTATGTAAGTAATGGAGAATTATCGTGCCAGTTGTATCAAAGAAGCGCCGACATGGGTCTTGGAGTACCATTTAACATAGCATCGTATTCACTGTTAACTTACATGTTAGCTCACGTTACAAATCTAAAGGTAACTTTATAAGAAAAAATGATCCATGAATATTTAATAGAAACTTGTATTTCTTTCTTTATTCTTAGCCAGGTGAATTTGTACATACAATGGGTGACTGTCATGTCTACCTTAATCACATATCTGCGCTTGAAAAGCAAATTAAACGTGTGCCAAAACCATTTCCACATTTAAAAATAGTTAGACATATAGAAAATATCGATGATTTTGTGGCAGAAGATTTTCAACTCATTGGATATGAACCACATGCAAAGATATCTATGCCAATGGCTGTTTAACAGGATTCTTAAATCATGATCAAATTATACCCAAGGTAAATAAAATTATGATTAAACTGTTTTTACATTTCTTTCAAAACATAATATCAATATTAAGAACATAATTTTGTTGACTTACATTAAATCAATATTTTTAATTTTAATCTTGTCTATACTTTATTTTCTAATAAAAATTATATTTTTAATATACTCATATCTTAATAATTTTATATATTTATTTATACTTATATTTATATTTATATTCATATATCTATATCAATATTTTTTTGTCAGTACCAGTTCTTAATGTGGTCCATACATGCCTGTTACAGCTCTGATTTTAACAATTATAAATCATAAATGTTTCCTGTGACAGTATGGAGAACAAATTAAAGTTTAAAGAATGTAACTGACAAGCATGGACGATAAAAGGCCTTATGTATGGAACTTCTAAATTTAATAAAATGTTCTTCCTATACAATATTTAAATCCAGTTATTTTTTAAATCATAAGTGTCTGCTGAAAATATTGTTTTTTGCATTACTAGCAAAATATTACTTTTATTGTTTAAAGCAGTGTTTTAAACAAATATGTTATTTTCACTCGTTCAATATAAAACAATCAGAAAGTGTTTTTAAAAATAAATTTAAGGGAAATCCTTGGGATATATCATAGGGGAGTCTGTTGTTACATCATTAAATGATGTTGTCACATCATTAGTTGTTTCAGTTGTTGTACTTAACTGATGAAGTTGTTGAGTAACAGCTAAAGTACCACTTTCACTTACTATTAGCATTATCCAAATAACATCTGTAGGAAAAAGGATTATAAGGATAAAGTTATCATTTAGACATTAACTAATACAAGAAATACATGTACCTCCGAAAAAAGTTTCTGTAGACTTCACCATCATTCTCCATTTACTTTGATATAGACCACAATCAGAAGGACTCTGTAGGTCCACGCTTATTTCCGTTGTCTCTTTGGGGCCTAAAGATGGAACTGGTACTCGTGTACATTCTCCCATTTGTACACCTCCTATGTATTGTAGACAAACTCCATCAGGCCATGCTTCTGTACCACTGTTTTGTATATGCCATGATTTTCGAAAATTAGTAAGAGGTGGTATTGCTTCTCCTTCACCAATAGTACTATCGCATATTAATGTCATACAAGGAAATTTATTTTGAACCGGAGACTCAAAATCAAAATAACTGCATATAGCTGCTTGAAGATTCCTGCAATTACAAGTTTTCAAAGTGTTTCTATTTTATCTACCGATATCTAACAGTAATGAATATTTAACAATATTTTATAATTATAATCGTTACACCTTTAAAACCTAACTGAAGATTCAAAGTTCTCTATTGCCTTTTTTTTTCTTTTTTTTTTAAGTTAAACATAATCTGTCCAATGTAACAGATGGGAATAAACACTCGTTAAAATGACATAAACAATAACTACATGAGACTGAATATAAAAGTGAAACGTTACGTTTACAGATATAAGCTGTCAATAAGATCAAGATAAAAGTCAAAGACAAAACAAGTAAACATGGCGACGTTAGGGTTAGGTTGCACAGTAAAGCTCGTTTTGCGTAGATCAACACGCGATGGAACATTTTACCAGTTATTCATATCAAGAAAGAACGTGGCTGTAGTTTCGTTCAGTTGGCTACCAGGCAGTAGCCTCTGCAGTTGCTTCACCAGATCTTCTTTGTCAGTTGTACCTAAACAGCTGAACTGGTGTAACAAATGTTGATCCAAATCGTTGTCCACGTTCATGATGCACTCTGTAGCTCGTTCAACACTCCATGTAACGTAATTGTCACACACGCAATTTCGTAAATAGGTTCTTATCGTCTGATCTTTAACTGCAAATTTTAAATGTCATTCTTCGTGACGTTCATCCGTGCGCAATGAATGCGTGCATCTATGGTACACTCCGCATAAAAAGTGTAATTAAGTGTAATCCGCAAAAATTGTTTCCACGCGCCAGTGGAAACTTTAGCTAAAAGATGAATTCAATGTCTACGTTTCCCCTGTAACATGAAATTAGCTTTGACTGTGAACATTGCGAGATATCAATAAATTTTTATAACTGGTAAAGGAACATGGAGAACTGCGAATGAATTATGTGCACACGGTTGCACGAATATAGAAATTCTACAGATGCATACCTATCATTCGTCCACTTTACTTATATCTTTGATGCCTTTTAGCCAAAGTATATGTACAGTCTTTAAATCCATTTAATTTCCAATGTAAATGAAATAGTTCTTACCGCGAAAGGTATCGCATATTTTGAAAGAAAATGTAAGCGCAAAGCGGCTAAACTATCAGGCTTCCTTTTATAATATCTGAAATTTTTATTATCCGAGAAAGGTTCAATAAATATTACCTCGGATAATCGAGACTTCACTGTACTATGTCGTAGAAATAAAATAAAATTATATGTTAAGTGTAATCGAGTATTTTCAGATTGTAGAATTTTGATGATTTCCTGCGCATGCGTAAAGTAATATAAATCGTATCTCCAAATGATTCTATCGTATACTGTGTATTCTTTCAAAACTTTGTAAATCAATCTTTTAAGTTTGATATCTTATGCAACTAGGGAATACACTGCTTTTAATTTCATGAAAATTTGGATATTCTGCATCGGCGAAGCTACGCATCCGTCAGACATACAGCCCTGAATTCAAGTTCTATTACTTCTATGCACATGCGTAAGTATCCCCTCTAATTTAATCGAGACTCATAGATGCGCGCGCATTACACCGCGATAGCAGTTGAAATACGAAACAAGAGACAGTCGCACCTCGAAGTGGACCATGTAGATGTTCCGATACCGTCTAATCGCAAGGTGATTTCGTATACAAAGTGGAAACTCGTAAACCGTGTACGAAAAATAATAAATATTAGTCGAACACGCGCGTGCAATTAGCAATGAACTATCCTTGAATCGCATAGAAAGGTGGGTACGTCTTCTAGTCGTAATTTTTTTTCGGCTGCGATCGTAGACAAGAAACTTTCAAAGAATAAGCTAACACCCCGGCATCAATGAAACGTTCAAAGTCTCTAAACAGTTGTTTCTTTGCTGACAACGGGACCTCGTGATGACTATCAGAACTTATTTCACGTCGACTTGTTCCTTTTTGAAGATCGCGAACTAATCTATACAGATTCAGCGAAATCGTAAAACAGAATATCGAGGTAAGAAAACGTACTGAATCAATCTTATATATCACGTATAAGAAACTTGTGATTGATTTAAATGACGTTAACGAAACGAGATTGGGCATATTTACCAGTTCTTTTTAATTTGACAATTTGAATAAAATGAAAACGAGGTTAAAACATATCTCTGATCAGAACGACTAAGGTTTCAATTTGTTTAATGAAGAAAATCATTCTCGCATATTTTTATATTATGTTTTATTTACAGACTTCGTTTCAACCAAATCATTTTTAATGTAGTATTTTTAAACAAGTACTTATTTCTCTTTCTCTCCTTTTTTTCATTTTTTTATCGTTATCTAATTTTAATACGTATTAAAATTAGAATGTGTACGCATTCAAATAATAAATACAAATTAAAACTTAACATCGACAGCATGATTGGACCGTCCTCTGGCACAGGAGGCGTTCCAGAACACAAGGTGTTGGACAACCAATCCAGATCTGGGAAAAAGCGTATCTTCGAGGATCTGGACATCGAAAATTTTTGCGAGGAGGTGCAAAACAGTCGTAAACGATATCAGCATCAAGAAATAGATGCGCCTATGGAAATGGTCGCTTCTAATCAAGGAATAGGCGATACCGCGGCGTTATTCTCGCCAATGTCTAGTCAGGAAACAGTAGACGAGTGTCCGGTAGCACGACTCGAAGTCCTCTTGGTGGACGGTACGAATTACACTTGGACAACCGTTTCTGAATTAGAATCTCATCAGAACGTTCACGAAATCGCAACCTCCCCTTCCGCGTCTTCTGCTTCGTCGGAACATCGTCAGGAACAAGTGATTCAGGAGGTGCAGATAGAGGAGATGAGTTATCCAGTCAGTTCAGATTATTGGGAGCCAGTAATCACAGTACCTTCGTTAAATGCGCAACAGAATAAAACTGGAGGATTTTATCATAGTCAGCAACAGCAACAGCAACAACAGTTCGATGATCAAGAGACTGGAAACCTCTCCTGGTTACTGGACTTCAAATTGGATCCTTTTATCGAGGCAGCGGACGACAAGTCCACCGCAACACCCACCAGAGACAATTATGCTGGTGTGAAAGTCTACTCCTATTCTACTCCTATTAAAAAAAAAACTGTTGAGCGAAAAAGTTTGCCTTTGAAATGTTGTCACATTTCTCAGCGACTGTTTCCTTCTTTCTGTTCAGGGAACAAGGTGAAAATAAACGGTCGTCCTTATGGATCCGTATGTAGTAACGATGTTAAAAGAAGTTACACCGAAAACGGTTCATTGCATCAAGATTCGTACCAGAGTTACTCGAATTTCGATAACAGAAACTTCGCGAGTTCGCGGTGTAACGGACCAAAGAAACCTCCCTTCACGTATACCGAACTTATTGAACACGCTCTTCGAGAAAGGGGCGAACTTACTGTATCAGCGATTTATCAATGGATTTCGTAAGTGCTGTTTCATTGAATGTTTAATAATCAAACTTGCAGTTGCTTTTCAGTTGGATTTTGATCGTAAAACGTTGCGTTCAAACAACATTTTTTATATTTTTCTTTTACACTTTCTTTTTATAGTCGTCTCTAAGTTCGGTAATTTTTTAACTCTGTTCTTTAAGAAGAGATGAAAACCATTTGGTGGTAACATTTAGTAGGGGAAGAAGGAAATTGGTTGATAAGGAGTTCAGGGGCTTTGACTACCTATATATTGTAGTTTCTCGTGAGACCACGATCGAACAGGTGAAAGCTCAGAGCCAGTAAATTACGCGCATTTGTGTTGGGGGTTGCAACGATGAGAAAAGGCGGTACCGACTGGTACCGCGTAGAGAAAGCAGCGGTGCCAAGGGGTACCATCTAAGAACCTCGCCCTCTCTGTCGAACGCCACCACCCCGCATCAACGTGGGTCACGTTCTCGTAAATTCGTAGAGACTCCACATTTACCACATTTACCACATTTACGTTGAAAGTAACCGAGATATGTACAGTTTAATACAAAGTAATGTAAACAGAGCGATTTACAAGAACAAAATTTCAATTAAACTTATTTATTTTTTCTAATAGCATTTTTTTTATTTTAGATTATTTAATTTTATCGTGTTATATATTGATTTCAACAAATTGGAACATCATTAAAGCAAATAAAATCATATGATTTAATCGAAGTCTTTAATTTAGAAAGCGTATTACCTCGAGGGTAAATTTATTTTCAAGTAAAAGCGCCAATTGACGCGTTACCACGTGTTCGGTGCATTTCACAAACAATGAGTCTTTGGACTTTTCCTATCAAAGACAAAGAATTAATTACAAGGGTGTGTAACACGCCGTGACGTCGCCGCAGGCAGGTGAAGAAAATTATTTCATCGAGGGTGCATACTCGCTGATATTTTCACATATGTATTAAATTCATAATCACCAATTGAAATCCTTTTAATGTTTAATGCAGTTGTAAAAAATAATTAATATTGCAGCGAAGGCAAAATTTTGGTCATAAAAGAAAGTTTTCTCTGCAATCGTGAAGGTGCAGAGAAAAGTAACGAAGACTCGATACGCGCGTCAGACGAAATCTCTTAAAACTACGCGTTATCGCGTTTTACAGGCCCTTCAAGATTTTAAAGAAAGGTTTTATTTTGTTTTTGATCATCTTTTTGATAATCTACTAGTAATGCGTGTTTTAAAACGCGAATGAAGAACTAAGTAATAAATAATTTACTAATCGATATCAAATAAGACTATTACTACTACCACATCTATTACTTTTAGATTGTAATAGTATAGAATTTTTTAACACTTTTAGCGAACACTTTCCTTATTATAAAAGCAACGATGATCGTTGGAAAAATTCCGTGCGGCACAACCTATCGATAAATCCTCACTTCAGAAAAGGATCAAAGGCACCTCATGGAGCTGGACATTTGTGGGCAATTGCAAACAGATCAGGAGACTCTAGACCCAAACAAACCATCAACGCTATTAATTCTTCCATAAAACAAGCCGTTAAGCACTCTATAGAAGCTGAGAATAATCGAAAAAATATTAGGTGACCAGTTTTCCTTTTATACCTTCATATTTGTAAATATAATAAATTATATCAACGTGTACGCTCTACAGGACGGAGGGATTATGGAAATATTTAAAAGAAGAACTATAATCTAATGATTAAATTTAATAAGATCGTTGATTTGTTTTAGCCAAACTAATCCCATAGATGAAGTGGAAGCTGCAACTGCGAGCATTATACAACAGCCCTCTGAGGAAGAGACTGGAAACATAGTAAATTCTGTAACGTTAGAACACTGTGCAGAAGAAATTCTTAGTGGTATCAAAAAAGAAGTGGAAGTCCAGTATCTGGTACCAATGATGGTTTCCAATAATCAACATAATTCCACACAATCTGATCAACAGACACAGGAACTTCATTATCCCATAAAAGAAAGTGGTAACGTGATTATTCCTTTTTTCAGTTACGAAAAAGATCGAAGTCGACAAATGAAAGTCTTAGGATTTGAATGATGGAATCGATAAAATATGAAATTATTCTTTTTGTAGATTTTCTCAATCCAGTATCCAAAGAAGTAGTAGCAGAAGAATGTGGACTCATAAGCGAAGGCTATCTCGTTACAGACCTAAATCCTACAACCTTAGGTCTGAATATGGTTGATCCAGAAATTATCACACCCGAAAATCTGTTTGGGGAAGAATTAAGTTTTCAATTTTACGAATTGTCATCTCCGTCACAAATCCAATCTGCCTGACACACTGAAAAAAATAAGCTACGATTGATCGTCATTGACGAGTTGCACGTGCAAAACATTCGGGACCGCAATCATATTGAAAATATTAATGATAACGATGCGCACGATGTTACTAAGAGAAACAGATCTCAAGAGGTTTTTATTGATCAGAAGTCATTTTCAGTATCCCAATGCGTCATCGCAAATTGCGATGTTTCTTCGATGTCTAATAGCTGATTCTTTTCAATAACGTTATCATGACATTTATACATAGGTCAATGCAAACGATCGTAAATTTTGGTCTAATTCATAATTGTCCGAATTGTGCCTGAATACGTGTCTTATTAAATTATTTATTGCTATATATTAGTATTACTTCTTCTAGCTCTTGCAGAATAACAATGTAACGTTTTTTGTATTAGCAAAAGAAAATACAATATTTACTACGAAATGTAAATATTATTATTTAATTTACATTATTCTGCTTTATATGAATTCTATTTATTCTTGAAATACATATATCATAGATAGAAATCAATAGATTTTTGTAAAATGTTGATTTTAGCGACTATATAGAAATTATTTTCAAATACAACATTTCCATTAAAGTATTTGCCTCACACTTTTTCATTATCTTCTTTTGACTCTTCTACATTTTCTCCTGTTTCATCTTTCTGTTTTGATTGACCAAGCATTTTAATTGCCCATTGTTTTTTCTTTTCCATTATTAGTGCTTTTTTCATCTCTTTCTTCTTTTTCCTTTCTTCTTTATCCATCTTCTCTAACGTTTTTTCAATTTTACTCGCGCTTACATGGCCTTCGGCTAATAATTTACGTCTAATTTCTTCTATCCTACGTTCTTTTTTCTGTCGAGCTTCTAACATTTCTTGTTTCTTTTTATCAATTTTTTCTTGTATATCGGATATCATTTTCTCCATATTTGCCATCTTAAGTTCTATTTCCTGTTGTCTGCAAATATAAAAAATAAATGAATGTATACAAGTACTTGAAAATTATTTGACTTTCATAACTTGCATGGTAGATAACATACCTGGCCATTATAAATTCTTGATGCTTTCCCTTTTCTTCTTTAATCTTGCTTAATCTTTCTTGAATCGTTAATGGAAAAGCAACTTTTTCATACTCCTTTATTTTTTGTACTTCTTCAAGAGTAGGCCATGCTAGTCCTGCAGTTGTTCCTAAAGCCTCAATACCGTACCTACCTAATGTTCGTTTTTTGTATTTTATCGTATTATGATACCAGGTCAAAGAATTGTCATAAGGTTTTTGACCACATAATATATTTCTGTGTCCAGGGTTTAATCGTGATTTGTTTCTTTTTTCTTCTAGTCCAACACTCTCTTCTTCTTCCTCTACATAAATTGGTTTCTCCTCAGCAGTTTCAAAGATATTACTTACTGATTTTGAAGAAAAACATCTTTTGCCAACAATATTTTGAAGCCTTAATTTTAACGACAAATTAAAGAATAATTCTCTTAAAGACATTCTGTATTATGTTGTTTCACTTACTTTTGTTATTTACGATTCCTATAAAGTACAGTTATAATCAATAAATTTCAGTTAGAGAATAAGGTTAAACAATGCATTATTAAATACCATATTTTCTATTTGATATGTAAAATGTTTACTTGTTTCGTTTAAAATACTGAGTTACTTCCTTAACAAAATTAATGAAATTTGCAGGCAATATTCTCTATTATAAGCGAACAAAAATTGATTTACAGTTCTTCGAATAATAGAAGTAAATATAACATAATATTATAGATATAGATGGCACTATGTACATAAAGTCCATGGCGGCATGGTTAGGTTTTTTCGTTAACAAGTTAACGAGTTAAACCGTAGTATTATATTTTAATTTTGTATAAACGTGCTAATGAAATCATCAAATTGATTGCTTATGATATTGAAATTAATCTATTAAAAATAAGTAACAAATAAGACATGGGTCGGTTAGCTGAGGTACAACATTTATAAACATAAAATATTTTACAGTCGCATTGCCTGATTTATTGTTGAAGTAAGCACGGATAGATAAAAATTCTAAATGAAAGTTTTATTTTATGCGTAGGTATGTGGTGAACATTCCTCCGAAAGATGTAAAACTTTTATATTCAAGAATGAAGGTTATACTTTGGGGAATGCTTTGGTGACCATAATTTTACAAAAGTACGTTGCATCGATGTATCTTTGGTAAAATATATTAAAATTTTATTTTTACAGCCCTGATGTGGAGTTCTGCGCGTGCTTCGTAAATCATCCAGCAGAGGGAAATATTTATTTGAGAATTCAAGCAAAGAAGGGAAAAGCTGTAGATATATTAAAAAAAGGATTGCAAGATTTTGAAAAGATTTGCGACTACACTTTAGAATCATTTAATAACGCTTATGAGCATTTTAAAAATTCTAAAGATGCATCTGTTGACAGTACATGATATTGCCATCACATTTATGTATAAAATACTATCAATATTATAAAATATTGGTTAAATTTTCACTGTAAATAAGGAAAGACAAATATTTCAGGAAGGGTAAGGATACAAACAAAGAAAATAAAGTGGTAATTGTATAAACTTTGCATGGAGGTTTATTTTTTAAACAACCTCGGTGGACCTTTGTCCTCCCATGGCTTTGTGATTCTTAGATAAATAATCTGCAAATTCTTGATACGGTGCTTTTCTCAGTGCTTGATCATGCCAGAGGTCTGGTGTTAAATACGCATAAGTTTTGGCAATAGCAGCATAGGTAGCTTTGGCAAAGTTACCAAGAGTACACGTTGATCCTCTTGCTGATGTGTAGCAATCCTCGATACCAGCCATTTGCAATAATTTTTTAGGGACAGGTGCAGATACAATACCTGTACCTCTTGGAGCTGGAATTAAACGCACTTGGACAGATCCACATTTACCTGTAACTTTGCATGGGACAGTATGAGGGTCACCAATTTTGTTTCCCCAATAACCACGGCGTACAGGTACAACCGAAAGTTTAGCTAAAATAATAGCACCACGAATGGCAGTAGCTACTTCTTTGGAACACTTTACCCCTAAACCAATATGACCCTTGTAATCACCGATGGCTACAAAAGCCTAAAATTAATAGAAGTTATTAACATAGACTGCATCAATGAAAACTGTATTAGTTGAAATATCATCGTGTAAGTATACTTTAAAACGTGTACGTTGACCAGCTCGAGTTTGTTTCTGCACAGGCATAATCTTCAAAACTTCATCTTTTAGTTCAGGTCCAAGAAATTTATCGATTATTTCATATTCTTTGATGGGCAATGAAAAAAGATAAATATGTTCCAATGATTCAATTTTTCCATCTCTAACAAGACGGCCAAGTTTGGTCACTGGAATCCATTCCTTGCTGTCTTCTTTACCGCGTCCACGACCACGGCCTCTTCCCCTGCCTCCACGTCCTCTACCTCTTGGACCACCACGATCACCACCGCGAGAGCCAAATCCTCCACGAAAACCTCCACGCGCGGCTGGAGCGTTGTCCGCCATTCTAAATAAGTATGTTTAAAAAAATATACGGCTAATCAACAATTAGTATTTCCCACTTTGAAAATATTTGTAAAAGGATTTCGTATTTATTAGAGAACAATAACAATAACTTAACCTTCGTCCAGATAGCTTAGTTATAGCGTTTTAAATAAAATAACCATTGAATAAGCAACTTATTTTGTTGAATTCATGGGGAACATTGTTTGTTATAATCAAAGGAATATTGTTAACATATGTCAGATACATTTCGAGTAAAAGTGGAAAATAATACATGACATACCTTTATTCTTTTCACGATTATGAAAGGAAAATCGTAAAACTTACCCAAAGTCGATAGGTTGAAGGTAACTCGACTAATCGAGATAACATAAACACCATATCCGTCATTTGAATGTTCGTACTAACCGCGAACGAAATTTAATTCTGTTTTATAAATATTGCCATTCAAAGTAGGCAATGAAACGTTTCGTCACATTTTAATATAACACGATGCTTAATTAGACAAAATGGTTAAGTAAAGAAACAAGTATATTTATCATTTGAATCCGATTTTTTGTACCTTTTGAATTTTACTTTATAATGAGAAATAAGCAGTAAATATCGGAATAGAAAATTGCATAATATTTTGAGGTCACTGTTAAGTATTTTAGTTGTCGAATATAAGCTTTCGTTAATGAATTATTCGTCAGATTTAACGATACTTTTTTACTGAAGATGGAGAAATAGATAGAATTACAGTAATTGAATGAGTAGGATGTCAGCCGCGGATGGTGAAATCTCATGACGGATTTGAATCACACGTCATCAGAAGAAGCTGTTTTACTTGCGAGAGGTTACAAATTTATTAAAAAATTAGGCGAAGGTTCTTATGCTAAAGTCCGTATTTCGAGCAATTTCTCATCTTTCTTTTTCTTCGAAGACATAAATTCCAAATAAATTTATTTATAACTTCCAGGTATATCTCGCAGAATACAGACCGGAAACCGATCCAGAAAGGAACAACACTTTGGCGTGTAAGGTGATAGACACCGTGAATGCCCCAAAGGACTTTGTTCGAAAATTTTTGCCTCGCGAACTTGATATTCTAGTGAAGTTGAATCATCCTCACGTAGTACACGTGCACAGTATATTTCAGAGGAGATCGAAATATTTCATATTTATGCGTTATGCTGAAAATGGCGACCTTCTTGATTTTGTCTTAAAGAACGGTGCAGTCTCCGAAGGTCAAGCACGTGTATGGATTCGACAACTTGCGCTGGGTATTTGACTTTCAACCAATTTACGAGTTACATTAAAGTTACATTTTTACTTATTCGAGAAGACTTTTTAGGTCTTCAATATTTGCACGAAATGGAAATTGCTCACCGAGACATGAAGTGCGAAAACGTCCTTCTTACGTCTAATTACAACGTGAAGCTTGCCGATTTCGGTTTTGCCCGTTACGTGATAGATAATCGGGGTAAACGCGTATTAAGTGATACGTATTGCGGTTCTTTATCTTATGCTGCCCCTGAAATCCTTCGCGCCTCGCCATACAATCCCAAGATCGCCGACATTTGGTCGCTAGGCGTCATTCTGTACATTTTGCTAAATAAAGCGATGCCATTCGACGACACCGACATTAAAAGTCTCTACGAACAACAGACAAATCGTAAATGGAAGTTTCGCAGTAAGGTCATCAATTCTTTGAGCGACCATGTGAAGAAGCTGGTTACGCATCTTCTTGAACCGAATCCCCATAAACGTTGGAAACTGAATCAAATTATCAATAGCGATTGGATTGCTATGGACCCCCGACTTTTGGTACTCACACCGGCTGAACAAATTGCTCTTAATAACGCCATAGAAGAAAGAAAGAAACTCGAAGGGAAATTCACGCAAAAGGATCCTGTAAGAAATTTCAATTATTGTAACGTAAGAAAAATTACACTTACCAATAGTTATGTTATTGAAACATTTATTTTCCAGAAATTGTTTAAAGTGGAAGAGAAAAAGAAAGTGGACGTAGATCCGAGTAATGCGAAACCGGAAGTTACGGTCATTAAGAAGGTTGCGAAAGTTCGTATTTCGATTATCCTGATTTTTTGAACAAATGTAGAAAGCAATTCTGGTATTTCAGGAAGCAATGTCCTCCATTACAACTGGATCTATATTTAGGAAATAAATGATCGTGTTTCATATAACCTGTTTTGACGAGTACAAAGTGTACGATATATGTACATATATCTTATTTTACGCGTTTTAAATAATTTTATATATATATATTTTTTTGCAATTTTACATTACATTCCTTAGGTATTAATAATGCTTATCGTGTAACAGAACGAAATTAATCATGTACATATTCAATTTTCTACGTATCGAGCTTTCGTTAAAGTCGTCTCATTAATCGACGTATATTTGATAAAATAATTAAAGCCATCAACGATGGTTTCCACTTGTCCTTTCAAAGGAATTTCGATAATATTTCGAGGACTTGCAAGTCTATTGAGATCCCAAATACCGTTCGACAAGAATAATAACAACTGATTATTCGGAGTTCGGCTTAACGCGAATACATCCGTGGCAGGCAAAACATATTTTTGCAAATCTTTCCACGGCTGATAATGTAATACCAAAGTCTGCGAAATCAATCGTATAACAATCCACAAAGAATTCAACATTGATTCTACGAGCGCTTCTATTATTTTTGGAACGTGTAAGCCTGTAAATTCGATTAAATATATTAAGAGATTTACTATGTTTAATAATTGTCTTGTCTGTAAATTTATATAAAAATAATATTTCTGTTCGAAGGTGATTACCCTTTTATATACGAACCTTTTACGTAAACAAGACTTTTGTTTACAGCGTCGAATAGAAATATGGAAACAAGATCAAATTCTACCCAGACAACGAATTCATCTTCGTTCAATAACACTGACTTTATAAAGATAACGTTACTAGTATTTGATCTAACGATGATATCTTCTATATACTCGTTTACGCAATACTTAGTGAAATTTTTCATTTTACATTGTTCGTTTTCAATGAACATGCTTTTACGGGAAATATTGTTAATATTTTTTACAATTCCCAATTTATTTATGTAAACTGCACGATCTAAAATATTACAAATTGTCAAGATAATTCGTTAATAAATGTGGCAGTATGGATAAGTTTGAAAACAACATACTTTTCAACACCAAATTAATTGTTTCCGCTGCTGTTAAGTATTTGTCCATTTTCTCGGTAATAAATGGCATATTTGCATAATTTTGTTCAAAATTCTTCATGTTTGCTCCTGCATAAGTATCGTTAACAATGAGATTTCCCATTATAAATAAATTTTCTTGCAACTCAATTTCCGTTTCTACATTTTGCGATGAACTTTGTTTCTTTAATTGATTGTCTATTAAGGTGTTTAGATTTATATCATTCACCAGACCATCGATAAAAATTGTCGACGCATAAATAGATCCATGAATTTTCTTCTGACCATACACTGTTTGATTGGCGGATTTTAGTAATGCTTCGTCGATAGTATGTCCTAGTACAGTACCAGATAAGCTACAAACAAAAAATTAGTCTAAGTCCTAGGCTGATTAAAAATTAATTTAGATGCTGATTGATTAAGATTTGTTTCGTCGATTACGTTATATTATTGAACATGGCAGTTAGAAAACTTTTTTGCCCCTTGATAGTAATATGCTTCTCTTTCTGCGTCAAAGTATTGTCAATCCATTTAGCAAAATTTAAACCATTCAAATTTTTTGTAGTCAAAATCATCACCGTCTTTTTACCAGTTACGATATTGTTCTTAGAATCGTGTCTCATAACATCCGTTTTAAGATTCATGTTATTAATTTTGTTCCTTACATCCATTTGACCTAAATTAATAAAAAATTAAACGCTACCGAACTGCGGAAAATATAAGGTATTTTTCTCGAAGAATTTTTCTCTTTTCTTCAAGTATACAAATACTGTTACCTAGTATTTTTAATTTATTAAATGTCCATTTTGCTTTCACGTCTTGTACTCTATCTTTCATTACAGGATCATCGAATATATCATTGAAATCTGACACCGAGGATATTATCCTCGAAGTATTCGATCCTACGATGGTATTAGTCTCGACATTATTTAAAAAAGCATCAACCGATATTTTTTGTATTCCTCTTTTGCTTAGAACATGTTCCGAAATGTTCTTCCACATTTCGATGCATAATGTATTCGCAGGTTTCTAAAACAAATTGTAATAATTTTGTAATTAGGGACAGAAAAGATTCTCTAGTTGAATTTACTTACTTTTAAAGTAATATTTCCTGTTATTAAAGCATTCGTAAGATGCAAATTTTTTCCATAAAAGGTTGTAGGATTTGATATTATCCATGTTTGCGTAAACAATTCGTTTAATTTATTTTTATTTATACTGTGTATCATTGGCTCAACTGAAAATATTGCAGATCCTTTAACAATTATGTTCACGGAGGTATTGCTTTGCACGAGTCTAGAGTAATATGGTAAATTTATCGTATTAACTTCTGTAATTCCAGAAATTCTATTTTTATAGCACCTAAGATGACTTCCTGTTTGCACCATCGGTAACAAGGGATAAGGAGTATATATACGATTTGCCGTAAAACCATTATCTAAATGTAAATTAAAACAAGACATGGTTACAAATTTTGATTCATAAAAAATTATTTCTTTTTTGCATAAAAAATTTATAATGGTAACTCACTGAATTTTATGTTCATTAAAGATATTATATCTCCAACCTTTATAGCATTCGCTAAGAAATCAGTCAAATTAATCTTATTGATGCTGTCTGTATAAGTATTTTGTTTCGATACCACGTTTCTTATTACTTTAGACAATTCTGCGTAAAATTGCATGGGTGATTGCAAAACCTTAATCTTCAATTCCGTCGCTTCAACCGGAGTTTTAAGAATGTTAGGCTCAATCCACGAATTTGCTAATTTTTCTAATGCTATACATTTAAAAGAAGGAAACGTAAATTATTCATATCGCTGATATAAAACGATAAATATTAATGATAAGTATTTTTACTTATTAAATTTATGTTATTCACGTTTGTTGTAATTATATTTTTTGCTTTAACATTATGGTAATAAGGTTGCGCGGAAGAATCGAAGGGTTTAAAAGCGAGCGATGAATTATTAGTAGCACATTTTACACACATATTTCCAAAAACGTGCAAACTTGTTAAACTTTTCACCGTAATATTATTTAGTGTTAGCACCGGAACTTTGATTTCAGGCACAATTACAGTAGCACCACACAAGGCTGTTTCGATCCTGTCAATTAAAAAATTATCTTTCGAATATGTTTGCATTGCATTGTTTAATTACAGGGTATACTAAATAATAAGCTTACCATGGAAATCTGATGCTTTCGTAAGAAGACTCTGTTATCTCTACATTCTGTAGAAAGTATTTCTTTCCTGTTATAATATTTTCAGAATTCGCCGTAATCCAATTTTGAAAGCCATGCACGGCAACATTATGCCACTTCTAATTCAAAATTTATTTCAATTGCTAGTCATAAAACGTATACATTTAAAAAACGAATAATCACAAAATAGTTCTTACCACTTTTTCACTTGAAAATACTAAGGATATTGGTACATTATCACGTAAAGATATTGCATTTGATAAAATTTCCTTAACTGATCCCACCTTACTAACAATTAAACCTGCAGATTGTAAATTTTCAATTTTAACATTTTCCAATTTGAGATCATAGTCCAAAGTTATTGATTCAGGGATGTATCTGATGGGTGATAACTTCTTCATCCAATTGCTTTTTGCCGACCCTTGTAAATCAATCTTATTTTTCACTGTTATATTAGACGCTTTGACTAAGCCAGTGATTACTGTAGGTAAGCCATTTAATGGTAATAAAACTCCTCCTTCTGTTACAGTTAACTCTGTAACATTTATTTTTCCTACTCGAATTTCTTGCTTTGGAAGATTTAAAGCAATATTCAACGGCATAAGAGTATTTGTGACATTGATACTAACGAAAGTGTGTCGTCCTGAAATATTTTTTTTATATTTAATGAGTAATTGGTTTGCAACCAAAATTTGAAACAACTTACCGAAGACTTTTTGACTACCGCTTACTTTTAGGGTATTTTTCTGTAAATTTTCTAATAATACCCCGTTGATTGACTTGTCAACGTCAATATTATCTATTGGTAAATTAAAAATTGGACACTTCCAATTTTTGATTTCTTTAACAGCTAATGTTTTGAAGCTTGTCGCTTTATTTCTATCTTGCAATGCTTGTAGCTTTGATAACAGATCAATCTTTCCATTAATATTTACTTTGTTGATCTTACACTTCGTTTTACATTTCATTTGAAACTTATTTGCACGCAATGAAGAAACAGTTAAATTACCAGACTTCCATTTATTATTTATAACTATATTTTGCTCTAGGAGCTTATTTTTCATTTTATTATACTGTTCTGATGCAATCTGTAATGCTTGAGAATTATGCTGATTTATCTAGAAAACATAAAAATATATATAAATTTTATATCGCTTTAATTTATATCATTCTATAGAAAATATAAAATTTTACGTTATGAACAAAAAGTTGATCAATATGGCCTTTTAAAATTCGAACAGGTTTATCGAGATTGAAAATTTCGTTCAATTTTCTTTGAGCTGTATCCTTAGCTTTAATGTTCCATGCTCTGATTTCTTCTTGTATATCTTTATAAGTTTTCTTTTTGGTCCATATTGGTTGTTTCAATGCCCATGTATCGTTGTTATATTTTACGAGCAACAACTGTTTCCCATATAAATTAGCTTTATGAAATCGATGAATTCCATTCAATTTCACAGCTAATTTTATAAATCTCCAGCCATTGTACTGATAAGTCGATACAGTGTCCTTGTGTAAAGCAAAGAATAAAATTGCTTTGTTTGAAATAATTTGTGCTGTAAACGTGCCAGAACTAATCTGTTGAAATGGTACAAATCGACCATGAGTACTTTTATATATTATAACGGACGACCACGTGGATAAGCTTAGAAAATTTTCTGTAAAATGGCCTTCCTTTACTTGAAAAAATGAGATATCTTGACTCGATGATAATTGTTGCATAGCCAGAAATTTATTAGATTTTAAAAAGTATTTAAAAACTGTGGTGGTGGAGCCAGTAGCTGCTAAATACATAAATCCTTTACTTTGAAAGGGAACTAATTTCTTCGTTCCAAGATTTATAATTTGTATTAAATCAAAGTAATCGCCGAACCAACTATAAATTGAAATATTCGAATCTGATGCTATGCCCAAATATAATTTATTCATTCCTTTCCAAATAGTTAAATGAGTCCTATCGTTCCATTCGAACTCTTGAATGGGCTGTAAATACTTATCGGTGACTTTAGCGAAGCGCAAAATATTAATAAAATTATATTGATTTTGAACTATCAAAAGTATTCCGTCATTGCAATCATTAACAACTAATTGTGTTCCATTTGTTACGGAATAAGCGGTAACATAATTAAGACCAGCTTTCTGAAATGTATATAGTTCATTATAGTTAATTATTTAAGAAAATTGTATTTAAAATGTTTCTAACTACTATGAAAATGATGATTCGTACATTTATTTTAAATAAAGATACTTTAGAAGCATCTAAAACCGCAGCAAACCAAGTTAATTCTAATCCATTTCGAAGAGAAAAGATGTTCACGTCTCGTGCGTTATGAAAATTTAATGGAATAAAATCTTGAAATTCCTTCAATGTATCGATGCCTATAAAATATAAAAATATGTTTTTACCAGTTTTACAAAATGCGCGTGTTTAATCTCATTCGAATTTAAATTTAGATAATAATCGATTTAAAGATTCGATTCGATTCGATTGTCGTCAGGTAATTCGAGATGTGTGCACATCAAAATGTGTACATTTTCAAACGAAACTTTTGATATCAGCTGATATTTTGTATAACCTTGACATTTGTGTTTTTTCTTGTTAATAAGTGATTTTAATAGTATATCCATATTATGCGTGAAACATATTTTAATTTATGTCATGTGTACGTACAAGGGAATAAGCGAAAATTTGACGGCACAAATTGGCGAACTGGAAACTTTACAGTCTATTTATCCAAGAGAAGTAATAATAACCGACCATGGAGTGTTGGCTGACATATATGATTTTTTAAAAAATCCTATGCAGAATGTGCCTAATAGATTAGAATATTCAATTGAAATTTCATTGAATGATGTAAGATTAAAAAATGTATTATAATTTTTATAAATAAAAATAGCTAAAAAAATTCTTTTGCAGGAAAAAATTGAATTATTAATCAGTTTGCCACAAAATTATCCAAAAGAAAAACCTGAAGTTTATGCAAAGAGTTCATCATTAAATCGAACCCAACAATTATTATTAAATCAATCATTGAACAATATTGTTGAAGGTCAAGAAACTGGCGAGCCTTGTATTTATATGTTAATATTATGGATACAAGACAATGGGGAAAATTATCTTGCAGCTTCTGCTAAGAGTCAAAAAAAAGAATTAAATGACATAAACAAAAGTAAAGAAGAAGAAAAATCTACAGTTTTTGCTAGATATTGGATTTATAGTCATCATATATATGGAAAAAGTAAAAGAAGAGATATAATCAATTTAGCAAAAGAAAATTCTATTACAGGCTTTTGCTTAGCAGGAAAGCCTGGTATCATTTGTATTGAAGGAACCTTTGAAAATTGTGATTACTGCTGGCAAAAGGTATTGATTAATAAAATAGTTATTCCTGTATTTAGTTAATTGGAAATACTTCTTCCTACATTCTCTATATTTCAGATCAAGTCTATGAATTGGCATAAAATATTAATACGATTGTTAGAAAAAGAAGAAAACCATAATGATATTGATGATTTACGTAAATTTAATGATTTTCAAGAAATATCTTTTCCTAGTTGTGAACGACATAATGACATGAGTCAGGTACTGAAATACTTAACAGAACATGAAGTACAGTATGTGTTTAAAGAACTCTTCGGAATTTAAAGTAAAACTACTTGATTTCTTGGTAAATGATTAATAATAATATTAATAAATACATACTAGAAACAAGTATTGTTAAAAAATATACAAGGACATACGCTTATCATTTTTAACAGATGATAATAAATACAATATACCTTTGTTAAAATTTTTCAATAATTCCCGTTTATGGCGAAAAAATGTGTTTGATGTATTTCTAACATATCCTACAACTGTTTCATTAATTTCATCCATCACATTTTTGTTTAGATTTTCAAATCCTAAAAAATAACGTTTTAAAATATTATATACAAATATTTATACTTTTTTCTAAGTTTTAGAAAGTCTTATACCATATTCCAATTTTAATTTATTAAAAAGATCAGATGTACGTTTAAATGCAACATTCAGTTCATAAGTTTTTTGCTTATATGCATGATGTTCTGTACTAAGTCTATTAATTAACAGAAGAAACAACCAGAATTTTAACATTTTATCTCTATGAGCACGCTTTGTTACTTGAAATTGTCACTTAGATTACCTGTTCACTACTAAGAATACTTCATAGATGGAAGTTCTTACACTTATGTTTATATTTTTTTTTATATTAGTACTTGATAATAGAAACTAAATTAACATCAGTGTGTACACACACACACACACACACACACATATATATATATATAACTCTATGTATATACAGATTGAAACGAAATTCATCTTCAATTTCTAATAAATATTTTATTAATATTAAAATAACAATAATATACAACAGAATAGCATGAAACATCCATGAGTGATATATGAGATTTTTTCTTTCATCTAACAGTAGCATAACGCAAGAATTCATTGGTGAGAAATTGTCCTGGAATATAAGAAGCTGGTGGTCCAAGAATATCCTGTGTTGGGCTGTGAACTTTAATTTGTCTCATGTGCGTATCCCTTCCATTTTGATGATTGCTTATTACAGCTATCTGTATCATAAATGTTCTAATAGGTCTGTCATTTATATCTTTTATTGGAATGATAACCCAACCACTTGGCTCATTCAAATCCATAACTTCTACTTCTTGAAGATCATTAAAATTTGTTCCCGCTCTTATACTTATTCTAAAAGTGATTGTATTATTATATCAAAATTAGTAAGTATTATCATTAATATAAAATAGTTCAAATATCTCACCTACTGGGGGTATAACTTTCATCTAATTTATAATCTGTATAAATACATATATCACGTATTGTTATTTTTCTTTTGAATTGTATATTTACTAAATGTGGAAGTTGCCCATCCGATTGCCAATAAGTTTCTGTGATATCATCACGCAACTGATCTACTCCAAAGCCAGGTTTACAACTAGATAAACTCCAAATTGCATGATTTCCAACTTCACGTACACGACCAACCAATTCTTCTTGAACAGGATCTATTTCTCCTACATAAATGAAACATTATAATGTAAGCTTCTTTACCTCAGATTCAAGTTACTTTCATTCAATGAAAATCACCTGCATTACCAGTTTTATTAGTCATAGTTCAACTTTTGACAATTCAGATAACATTAAATTTTCATAAGTATTTCAAAAGCATTAATCTTTCTCAAGACAATACAAAATTGAAATAGTACACCATTAAATAAATTCAACAATAAATAACATACAAATCTTGTTTATTTTTATGTTTTAATACTTCTGCAGAACTTATGATTATTTTTATGCTGCTACTAACTGCCACCTACAATAAACATACAACACATTCAAACTTTCACTGTCAGGATGTATCAATAATTATCGTTATTTTCTATTTGTTTCTATTTTATTTGAAATTTGTAACAAAATATTTGTATAATCAGTGAATAATTATTTATCGAAGTTAAAACAATATTTTATTTTTCATTAAATAAGTTGAGCACCACTGATTTAACGATAAGTCACAGTGGTACCCAATTTTGTCCAATTTACAATTTATCAAATGGTTGAACAGGTGTAAACAATTGTGAATAAAATAAACAAAATGGATCAAATACAGAGTCCAAAGGTATCAAAATAAATATCTCTTTTATTTAATACAATTATTATTATAAACGTATAAACTGTAATTTCAAACATCTGTCAGTGTATTATTCCTTATTACGTTTAATATCATATCGGTTTGGATACAAATTTTTCCTCATAGAATATTCATATTTAATATCATATTTCATACATTAACTTTAAAAGTTCGTATCTTTCATAAAGTATATAAATTTATGATTTTTCCAATTCGTAAGATTTTGAAACATGAAACAGGTTATACTATCTGTTACTGTCACTTAAATATTTACTATTTTAGGTAGAAAATGTAAGAATATTAGACAAATACAGTAATAATCATTCAATTGGTACTCTTTATTTAACTGTAACGCATCTTGTATTTACTGAACAAAGTGGAAAGAAAAAAATTTGGGTAAGAATACAATATAACTTTAGTATAATATTATTATATGTTGTAATGTAAATTACATATCAATATTCTATATATTTTATATTTCAGGTGTTATATACACATATATCAAACATAGAGAAACAACCATTAACTACAACAGGTTCCCCATTGTGTATTAAGTTTAAACATTTTTTTATTGTAACATTTGTTATTCCAAAGGAAAGAGATTGTCATGATATATATCTTACATTATCAAAATTATCTTGTCCCGGTAAACAGAGTATAATAAAAACAGGATGTTATTTTTTAAGAATATAGATGATTAACATTATACATTAATTTTTTAGCGAATATAGAAGATCTTTATTGTTTTAATTATCGAGAAAGTAAAGATACTTTACCTCAGCATGCAGGATGGAATTTTTTTAATGTACAAAGTGAATTTCAAAGACAGGGAGTTCCAAATGAAGAATGGTCTTTGACATATTTAAATACAAATTATGAAGTATATAATATAATAATTTTATTAATTAATTTTATTATAAAATTTATAATTATTTTTTAAAAATTTGTGACAATCATATTTTCAGCTTTGCGACACTTATCCAAAGTATTTATATGTTCCTAGCACATGTGCTAATAGCACTTTAATAGGCAGTGCAAAATTTAGAAGCAGGGGAAGGTTACCAGTTTTAACATATTTACATTCTAACAAGGTACAAGTATTAAATGAGAAAGTAAATTTGAAAATATTTGTATTTATTAGTAAAATGTTTTACAGGCTGCTATTTGTCGTTGCAGTCAACCTTTATCAGGTTTTAGTGCACGATGCCCTGAAGATGAACAAATGATGTATAATATTTTACGTACAAATCCTAATTCTAAGTATATGTACGTTGTAGATACACGTCCGCGCGTAAGTTTATAAACAGTATCCAAGGTATTTTTGTAGACATAAATTGTTTATATGGATCAATTCGATCAAATTCTTTTTTATATACATTATGAAATTACAAAAAGTTAATCCTTAATTTTTTTTCATTTAGATTAATGCCTTTGCTAATAGGGCAGCAGGAAAAGGATATGAAAATGAAAATTTCTATGACAATATAAAATTTCACTTTTTCGGCATTGAAAATATACATGTAATGAGAACAAGTTTAAATAAGTTGATAGAATGTATGCATTTTATGATTTCATAATATTATGTTTAAAATTATAATTTTATATTGTTGTAAATGTATCAACAACTATTTAGTACAGAAAACAACATCGATGACTACATTCTTAAATGGTTTGGAAAGTAGTGGATGGCTAAAACATATTCGATCTATATTAGAAACTGCTTGGTTCATTGCTAGAGCAGTCTCAAATGGTGTCAGTGTTGTAGTGCATTGTAGTGATGGATGGGACCGCACTGCTCAAGTATGTTCATTAAGTGCATTATTGTTGGATCCATTTTACAGGACAATTCAAGGTTTCCAAGTAAGAAATAAATCATTTTTAGAAACATTTTAAGTAAATTTACGAAGTTTATGTCTCTTTATGAAATCATTAATATTTTAGGCATTAATAGAAAAAGATTGGTTATCCTTTGGACATAAATTTAGTGATCGTTGTGGTCACATCAATTGTGATAATAAAGAATTAGCACCAATATTTACTCAATTCATCGATGCATCATATCAATTGTTACAGCAGTATCCACACAAATTTCAGTTTAATGAATATTTTTTATTAACTCTTCACGATCATGTACAAAGCTGTCAGTATGGTACATTTATAGGAAATTCTGAGAAAGAAAGACATGTTCTTAGGTATCATTTTATAGTGATTTAAATGGTTGTACATAATTTTTGAAAAAATGTTACTCTCTTCATTTATAATTCTTTCAGAGTATCAGAGAGAACATATTCTCTATGGGGATACATAGCAAATAATATGCACGAATATATTAATCCAATTTACAAATCTAATCGTTTTAACAAAGAGTCCAATTTTGTGCTTCAACCTAAATTAGCACCACAAAGTATCACGTAATATATAATTTTTATATTTTCATTTTAATATAATAAAAAGAGCGAAAAATTAAGGAATAAAATAACTTTATAGTTTGTGGCGAGGAATGTACTTTAGATTCGAAAATGGTGTTCACCCTAGAGAAACATATGAAGATTTTCTTTTAGTAATGCATGATCATACCAGTTGCTTAGAAGATCATGTTAAGCTACTTCTAAAGGTAAAAATATATATTTATTTGTTTGTTAATCATTCATGTAATATTATTTGTAATTTTTGTAGAGAGTGAGTTCTTTAAATTCTATAATGAATTTAAATAATATTCAAAAGAAAGGTGTACAAGGAAAACTGAAATTTGAAAATAAATTTACTAAAGATCCATTATCTGATACAATAATAGAAAATACAGCAAATCACGACGAAAAAACAAAATCTAAATTAAAAATTACACAATTAGAGAATGAACTGAAAACAGTTGCTTTAGAGTGGAAATTATTACGGAATATAGAGGAATGCACATGCTCTACTACATTTGATGCATTTAATAGAAAGGTAAAGATTAAATGTATTACAGTTAAACTGTTCAAAGATATAAAAGAAAGAAAAATAATTTTTAGCATCACTGTTGGTCATGTGGAGAAGTAGTATGTACACGATGTATAGGTGCACATACTGTTTTAGCTGGACACTTTTCACAACGTGCAGTACCTACTTGTAAGTCATGTATACAAAATTCCAATATTCCTTCTACTAGTCCCTAAATTAATTTTTTTGACATTTATCTAAAATTGTGATCCGTATTTAAGACGTATATGACTGTATAATAATTAGATATATTATCAAAACACAATTCAGGAAGTACTAGTGAAACTTCAGAAATGAATAACCAAAGCATGTCGGTTTTAAATAAAAAGAATATATATACATATAGGAAAGTATTAAAAATAAAAATGCATTTTTATTTTAATGGTTCAAGACAAATTGTACTATAATAGATATTCTTATAAAAACGCGTAATATCTTAAAAAAAAAGACTGCTTTTATTTTACATTGTATTATATAATATACGAATTACGAACATAGTGTAATTCATGTTTCTTTTAAAATAAAAACCAAGTCTTTCAAATTAAAATTGTGTTGATATGTAGCAGTAATTATTTTATATGTAAACGTAGTATAAATTAATATAGTTCTGCCTTTTTGAAAATTTAAGCAGGTCTGATTGTAAAGTAAAAGTACGATCACTAAATTAACAATACTGTTCCATTAATTTCTTTTAAACCAAACAAAATATGTTTGTTACGAATGGAAGTAGGTTTTTGCAAAATATTAATTTAATTATTTTAAACAATTTCAAACTTAACAGTTATAAATAATACAACTTTGTAATACTACATAAAAGTATTTCATTCACATTGTACACTTTATTAACATACTGGCAAAAGAATGAAACATTATTTAAGAAAGTCTATTACATGAATAATATTATAAATATCTATGGGAACAGTAACTAAATACTATAAGTTTTATATCAATTATATGTTTAAAATACCACGTGACACAAGTCACGAAAATTTAAACACATGATCATTCATTAATGTACAGAAATTGTGAATAAATGTATTCTATTATTAATTTTTAATATAATAACAAAATTATATTACTACGTATTATTAAGGCATAAACAGTTACACAGAACATCATTTTTACAAATTTTTGTGTAAGTATTCATTCATACGTAAGAAACATGTTCAATGTGAAATCATCTGCATCAAGCTATGATGTAATGAAAACTTACATTTAAAAACCAGATACCTATTAATATTAGGTAATAATCTGATTCATGGTGATCATATTGCATGTAGTTAACACTGAAAAGTTCTAATGTTCACAATGGCAAGTGTTAAGTGGAATGTGAATTTTATATAAATATTAGTAATATGAATTCCTTTCATTTAAGTTTTATAAACTATTCTTTGGTTTTCTTCGACGTGGTCCATCACCACCCATTGCTGGCTTATCCTGAGAAAAGGGCAAGTTAAATATTAAACTGAACTTCTAACTATGTGATATTAATTGTTGTATGTAAAAAATTTACTAACAGTATCTTCACTTTCCATTATTTCTTCAACTTCATTTTGCTTTTCAGTTTCTTCACTTTCTATTATCTCGTTAACCTCGTTTTGCTTTTCATTTTCTTCTTCCTGTTTAGATTCTGTTTCTTCATTTACCTGTAAAGGTTGCTTATCTTCGTCCTTTAAATCATATTTGTCCTAAAAAATCAGTGGAATAATTTTTATAATGATTCTAAAAATTATTGCTAAGTTCCAAGTACTTTTAAAGAGCCAAAATAAAAACCAAGCAAGCTCTAGGTTTAAGATCTGATAATTTTAAACATAATTACAAATGACTAAAATAAGGATAGATACTGTACACATTTAATTATTGTTTCTCGTATAAAGAAAAATATGACGGTTCATAATTTATTATACCTGAGAAGCAAAGCAGCAACAATATATTACTAGCAGTATAGGTAAACCAGTAGCTATTATATATACAGCCCACATCCAAGGATGTTCCGCGGTAAATGTGCCAATTTGACGCCATATACTCCACTATGTAAAATAATTATAAAATTACAAATTGTATAAGTTACATGTAAATTCCACAGTTGTACAATTCGCATTGTGCACCTTCTAAACTCAAATTAAAACGTGATGAAAGAAGTATTTTTAGGGTTTTCTTTTAATATGTCAACATATACTTGAGTATGTACATCCTTGTATCAACTTTGTATTTTGATGAGAGCTTTGATGCTGTAGTTAGTAATACTACTACTTTAGTATAACTTATAGCTGAGAAATATGTACAAAATATGATTATAATGTTCTACTAATTCACAAATATTTTATGTAAATGCATTGCTAGTTAAATGTTTAAGCATCGTACTATTACGTTTACGTATCGGCAATACAAAAAAACAAGTAATTTGTATATTTGAATAACTATCAAATATACCTCACGGACCCGTTTCAGTAAGAACCAAATATATATTGTGACTGGTATTGCGCAATATAAAATATAGAGCGCCCACCAGCCTGGTTTATAATTTGTAGCTTTCAATATGCGATTCCATAAAGTTACCTACATAGCACAGTGAACATGAATCATATTTTTTTAATTTTTTCTATCTAGTTGCATCACAGAGTGCTTATTAAACCAATTTTAAACAGATGTTCAAACACATTTAAATATCATAACTTCATTTGATAAGAAGGAAAATATTACTTACGCTCTCCTCTGCAATTCTAGCACGACGTACTTCAAAAGTAACGTCTGCCCATTTCTCCGCTACTTCCTCATTATCCGTAACAAGAATATTGTCGAACAAAATATCCGTGGACATAGACCATAGTTCAAAACCAACAGCAAACTAGAAAATACGAACGTTCAATATTATATCTTGAGTTCATAAAGATTGCATGCATAAAAAGACAAAAACATACTATAGGCATCATCCGAAATGGATGTTCATCATTAAAGTAATCAGGATTATGTATCAGTTTAGGCTTCCATTTTCCCTTATAATTAGGATTATTGATCAAGGGCGGTGACCACTTGCCCTTATATCGTGGATTTTTCTTCAGCTTTTGTTTATATGGCCCACATCCTGGTGCATCTGCACACTTTGGATTTGGTATTTCAGGAGGTTCCCATTCCCCATCCATTTCAACATCCCAATCCTCGGGTTTAATAGAATCAGGATTAGGTATTGTGGGTGGTTCATCTTCAAGCCACCCCTTAGGCATAACATCATCCTCATCAACTATTTGTGCTGGAGCATCTTCATCCCAATCATCGGGCTTAACAGCAGACAAGTCAGGAATTTTTTCTCTATCATCCCAGTCTTCTGGTTGAGTATCAGTAGGATCTTCAATTTCCAAAGGTGGATTAACAGGTGGAGTAAAGTCATCCAATAAAGATCCATCATTTACAACCTTATTATCTACTTTAATTTCAAAACTATTATCTGGACGAATAATCAAGGTGTATAGATGGGGTTGTTTATCTTTGAAGAAATCTTCTAATCTCTCTCTTGGTTTTTTACAGTGTTTTTCTTCTATAGAACCATTCAAAGGATTTTTATGCCGGAAAATAAAATGTAACTAGATCAAAATAATAAGTTAATGAATTTGTTGGATATTTTTGTAATAGTAAAGTTTTTCTTTATTCTTTTTACACTATATACCTGGTGATTATTCCCACATTTGTCAGGGCCAAACATTATAGTATAAGGAGTTTTATCGTGGAATTTTTTCAAATCTTCATGATCCGGATCTAAAGTAAGTAATTTTAAGTAAGCTCCACCACATTCTTGACCTTCTTGAAAATTTACTTCATATTGTACAATTAACGGATTATTTTTAAAATAAAATGGTTTAGATAATGTAGTAGCTATAGCAGCATGCCTAGCTTTGCTTTTAAGCACTAATCCTAGATCACCCTCTTGTGCATGCCTTTTGGGTTCTTCTACAGACCAGATTCCTATTCAAATTATATATATATTATTGTTCTTTGTAATTCTATTTTAAATATATAAACGAATAAAATTGCAAACCATCATATTTAGCTATATCCTCGTCAATAGAATCTTTCTTGGCTTCTGATAATATCCATGTATTCTTAAATTTTTCTTCATCATCAAAAGATTCCACTAAATAAGCAAAACCAGATATCTCTGGTGTTTTATAAACTGTTTCTGATGTTACATCTTGAACAACGTTACTGCTATCTTCATTAGCACTAATAATACTACGCAACAAGCACAGACAAATAATTATATTTGTTATAATTCTGGCCATTTCATATTCCTGCAAGTAGAGTAAAGCACATCAAATGTTTTTCAACACAATTTTTAATAAATAATATTTTTTGTATGGCGAAATGAAAATTTGTTTTCTTTTATACTTTATTTATTGATGCTGACATATATTATTTGAGTGAAAGTAAAGTTTTCTTACCGAATTCAATCGTTGAATAAATTCTCAGTGGATGATACGATAACAAAACCAACTATTCACAGCCAGGCCGTGCGTTATTTAATTAAATAATAACAGTAATTCAATTACATATACGTAAGAATATCTGTAACTGTGTGTTCTAAAAAGTAGCGACAATGCCGGATACGAGGTAAGCTATGAAAAATAGTGTTCCGCTTAATTAATTAAATTTTCTGCAAATCCCGCGATTTCTGACTGATCGAAACAGGACAGCAGAAAACCAAACGAATAAAATATGTCTTGATGATCGGTTCTTTTACAAATTATCTAACAAAAAACTTTTCCGAAACAAAAAAAAATTAATCGAGCTGCAAATGAATTTATCAATTTCTATATTCTGGTATGTGATACATACGTAACCAAACCGTTTCCCTTGAACATTGCAATATATGAATACCAGATATAAAACTATACAGTGATCCCCATAGTGTATATAATATAAAATTTTCTATGGAATGATAAAAATGTTATATGCATGTATATATATGTATAGGTATATAATACGTGCTGTGTATTTAACTATCCAATATACAATACGACATTTCTTGTCACTTTAAAAAGCAAAATTAAATTCAAGAAGTTTATCAGAAATTTACAATTCGTTCAAGAAATTATATTTGTTGGACAATATAGAAAAAAAGAACTAAAATTATTTAGTTACTTTTTCATATATATTTGTAATATATTTGTAAACTATTTAACTGATCCCAGTTGTTATAAGTTAACATTATAATAATTTTATATTATGTATTAACCAGATTATTTTATTTGTAATATTTAATTTAAAAATAGGTCAATGTAAGCATTGAAAGTTCAGAACGGTAACATTGAAGGTACGTCGTGTAATAGAGAGATGTCAGTTAAGTCGGCAAGTTGACGAAATTTAGAAGAGTTTTTGAGCCTTGTGCACGGTCTATAAGTATACCAAAGTATACCATCATTATACTAATTGTTTGCAGGGCTCCTGCATTGGGGTCAACTCTTCTGGATTCGAATGATTTATTCCTTCGCTCTACATATGAAAAAGTTAGAAATATTTGCGATCGAGCTATCGATAAGGATTGAAATTAAAACAATCGTCGTGTACAGTTACAAAGAAATCGGGGAATCGTGTGATCAATAATGTTTGTTAGTATACTCGATACGCAAGCCAAAACGTTAATCGTGATCAAAACGGAAATTTAATACGAATTCAGTGGTAAGCTTTTTGGAGTTAGTGAAACAGTGTAAACACGTAAATAAAAATGTAGGGGATTAAAATCGAAAAAATTAAACACGCAAGATACCAAATAAATATTAGGGAATTTTTGTTTCAATATACAAAAAGAAAGAGAGGAAAGAAGGAATTAGCTGTTGGTGCAGAATTGAAACGATGTACAACGAAAATTCAGTTGTCATTACGAACATTGCATGTTAATTTAATTTTTTCGGTGTGCATTGTAACATTCGAAGTATTATTCTATATATACGATAGGATTTGTCATTAGAAGTCAACTGTGAAACAGTGTTTTGTTTCGTGATCGTAATCGATGCTGCGATGTCTTGGGCTTCCGTATTTCGTAATCCGACGAGTTTGTGGAACTTTTTCTTTTTTATAGGTATTCATCGTCTTGTTTGTTAGAGCGGAAGTTAAACGAAAAACTTCAGTCTCACGATTTCTTGACACGAATTTACTAAAGTTATTCGCAAGAAAAATATTATCACACAAAACAAAAGGGAAATCGCGGAATGGCATCGTCTATGGTAGCTGTTCCTTCAGGAGCAGCATCGGTTTCAGCTGGAACTGGCATTACACAGAATGAGGAGGTCGAACATGGAGATGTCTTCAGTGAGCGAAACATTAATACTATTAATGGCTGCAATGAAACTTCTAATCCTGGAGATGCTCTAGAAGAGATAAATTGTGGGACCGGTGAGACCGGCGATCAAGAATGTGCTATTTGTATGAGCAAACTTTGTTCTCCACGAGTGCTTTCTTGTCTTCATGTGTTTTGCGAAGCTTGCTTGGACAAGCTTTTGATGGATGAGGCAGGTGACTCTAAGGTCAGTTCTGTCCTAATCTGTCCTTTATGTCAACAAGAAACTTCCATTAGTTCTAAGGGTGCCGCGTCATTGACGTGCGACTATGTTTTAACTAATATACTTGACATGTCCGCGATTGAGAACATGGCTGTACTCTGTACCTCGTGTAAAGCCAAAGAAAGCGCAGTTGCGCGTTGTTCGGACTGTGCCAACTTCTTATGCCCGAATTGCAACACTGCGCATCAATTTATGCGCTGTTTTGAAAGTCACAAGGTTGTAGCTTTTGAAGATTTAAAGCAATCCAATGAAGCTATACCAATACACAAACCTATTTTTTGCGAGTATCATCCTGCTGAAAATATGAAGTTTTACTGTTATACTTGCCAGGTAATTAATATATATTTAATCTATTATTGTACAAGATAATAATTTGAAATGCATAATATGTCAATTTTTAAATCACTATTAATCCAACAATGTCTGAGCCCATACAAAGTATGGATTATGATTGCGTTTCAAAATTATTATTAATCTTATTATTTTATACTTATATTATTTATTTGTTTAGGAACCTATATGCAATGAATGTTTACTCGTTGAACACAAAGCTCCAGAGCATCAGTATGAAAGATTAGTAGATGCAGAGCCTCGACAAAAAGAAGAATTGATGAAACTCATGAATGAAAGTAAAGCAAGGATTGCGGATTGTGACCAAGTTTCTGCGCAACTAGAAAATGCGCTTAGCGAATTACAAGCACAACATGATCAAGCTAAAGATCTGATTGTAGAGACATTTCAGAGTTATAAAGCTGTTTTAGAAAAATGTCGTGATAATGCCTTGGTTGAGCTTGAAAAGTTACATTCTGATAGAGAACTAGAAATAATGGACACGTTTCATAGGTCAGAAAAGTGCTCTTTGTATAGAAGAATATGTTATATATTTCAAAAATATATTTATTAAAACATTATTTCTGTGTGCAGCGTTGAAAAAACTGTGGAGAAAATAGAAGATGCTTGTCGTTTTACTTCTAGACTTTTGGAACATGGTGATGCTGTGGAAATCCTTGCACTTCGCCGTATTGTAGGAACACAATTAATGAATTTAATAAAAAATACACCAAAGCCAAATGTATCTTTTTCTATTGAATTTCAAACTGATTATAATCAGTTTGAGAAGACAGTAAAAGTACGTATAAATGCAATAAATTCAAGATCGGTAGAAGCATATATAAAGTGGATAATTTTAGGACGTGTTTGGAAAATTTCATACTGAGAGGACACCGGTGACAAAATCTACTCCTGAACCAATTTCAACATTACCAGGAGTTTCAGCCACTCAACAGATCGTTCATACGTCAATGGGCTGCCCACGTTCTATCAGTACAAGATCTCCTATTTCTCTTCCTGCTTCCATGCAATCTTCATTCGAAGGTGATCCATCATTTGTTATACCTCCGACGTCCAGCCCCCAAAATATTCCACCTCCGCCACCTCCTGTATCCCTTCCTCCAGGTCCTATTCACGGCCTTACCAGTATTCAAGAGTACAATCTACAGCAGTTAGCCAGTTTAGCGGAAAAGGTTGAAATGGTCGGAGACACAAACGTAGTTGGACCTAGCTCAAATCCTAGCCCAACTCCACCGTTCACTTTAGCGGATTTATTTGCTGGTGATCTAAGCTCTACCAGTCATGCAATTAATAATTTGCAAGCACTTGCAAAATTAGGAAATACTCTTGGCAATCAAGGTAAGAAAATAGTATAGATTTAATACTTTTTTCCTCATAAATAGGATAATACGTTCACTATTGAATTTATCAATAGATCTGGGAAACACAACAATTAATGGTGGTAGCGGTTTAGTGTTGGGTAGAGGTCCTTCACCTGCGATTGTAGATACGCCAAATTTGGGTTTAACGGCCAACAGTCTTTTGAACGGAGGATTTCAATCTTTATCTTCTTCCACCTCGCCCATACTTTCACAGGGTGCTGGTAAGAAGATTCTACTTGCAGTTACAATTAATCTTTTTTACGATTAATTCGACTGTAATATTTTTTATAGACGATTTAATCGGAGATACTATGCATAATATGCCGGTAGTCGTAGGAAATACTGTTGGCAACGTAACTGGTTCCGGATCTGGAAATTATGCTCATCCACGTTCAAATAACACAAAATTAACACCAATGCACATTAGGTGTAAATTTGGGCAGTTAGGTCCCAGTAAAGGTCAATTTAGCTCGCCTCATGGATTTTGTTTAAGTGCCGACGAGGATATTATTGTTGCCGACACAAATAATCATAGAATTCAGGTATATTAATAATTGAACTGATTTAAAGGGTTTATGATAAAATTTCGATTTATTATAAAACATGTTTCACGTTTGTTTTAGATATTCGAAAAGACTGGTATTTTCAAATTCCAATTTGGTGTTCCTGGTAAAGAAGAGGGACAACTATGGTACCCAAGGAAAGTCGCTGTAATGAGAAACAGCGGGAAATTTGTTGTTTGTGACCGTGGGAACGAACGATCTAGGATGCAAATATTTACGAAAAACGGTCACTTTATGAAAAAAATAGCAATTCGTTACATCGATATTGTAGCTGGCCTAGCTGTTACTAGCGAGGGTCATATTTTGGCTGTTGATAGCGTGTCTCCAACAGTGTTTGTAATCAGTGATACGGGAGACCTTTTAAGGTGGTTTGATTGTAGTGAATATATGAGGGAACCAAGTGATATTGCAATTAGTGGTGAGCAAACAATTTTTTACCACTATAAAAACACAATTTAAATATTAGATATAAAGATAGAATTTAATTATACGAAAAACTATGATTTACAGGTAAAGAATATTTTGTTTGCGACTTTAAAGGACATTGTGTTGTGGTGTTCAACGAAGAGGGCAAGTTTTTGCGTCGCATTGGCTGTGACAATGTAACAAACTTCCCAAATGGGATCGATATTAGCGATGCAGGAGATATATTAATAGGAGATTCACATGGTAATCGTTTTCATGTGGCTGTTTTCTCAAGAGATGGTTCCTTGATCTCTGAATTTGAGTGTCCGTATGTCAAGGTAAATTTTGATATCGTCGGAAACAAATGTTTTAAAAAAGATATTTTTATCGTTTGATTCGATTTCCATTTACATGCTTCCATCAAATCTTTTTTTTTTTTTTTCATTTTGTACGATCGTTTATCATTTTATAGGTATCTCGATGTTGTGGCTTGAAAATAACTTCAGAAGGATATATCGTAACTTTGGCTAAAAATAATCATCACGTCCTCGTACTGAACACTCTTTACATATCATGAAGCGAGGAAGCAGACCAAACAAGTATGTCGTAATTTTCTTCAGAGAGTGGAACTTCCTTGTGGATCGCTCTGCTATTAACGAAGGACGAATCGATTAAGTAAAATAAACAAACAAAAAAAAAAAATGCTCGTGGCATCGAGTTCTTTGAGATTTGGGCCTATCGAAGTAATAGAAAAACAAGTGCAGCATGCAGCTTTAATAGTCTGTAAAGAAAACAAAAACGTATATATATACATATATATATATACACACATATATAAATGCGTCCCTGTTTTATGAAAGTAACAACATTTGAAAGAAGAAAAGGTGAACGTACGTCTCCGACCAAAAAACAGTATAAATAGTGATTTAGCAAGTTGCATTTGGTAAACTGCCAAGATAAATTAAAAAAAAAAGAAGAACGAAAACGAAGCAATAAAGGAAGCAGCGACAGAAAGTCAACCGTGTCAACCAAGAAACCGAATCGAATCACTACACAGTGAAGATAAGCAAGGATGAAGATGGAAGAGAGGGGGGAAGAACTTACAGAACAATAGTTTTCCGTCACAATCGATTGATTCATCTTCGACTCGTCAGTATTTTAGGTATGTTTACAAATCAAATTATTCTAGTCTCTAATGAGCACTGTTTACACGTTGATTTTAATCTGTACTCGAAACAACGTATATTTGTTTTTTTTTTATCTTGGTCCTTTAATGGAACCAATAAGTATATACACATAAAAAGAAAGAAAGAAAACCAATAATATAAATTCTTTCTTTCGTTACGTTACTTCGAGATTTATTCGTAGACGCACTATGTTTCTAAGGTTTTGTTAAGAATCATTAGGTAATCCAGTAAGCTTGTCAAGAAGTGAAAGAGTATGATTATAAAAAAAAAAGAAATAAAAGCAAATTCCTTTGTTCGATGCAAAAGGAAGAGAAACGTTGCATGCTGCGACACACGGTAGTACTTCCTGCTCTTATCATATCATATCTCTAAAGAAACGAACGAAAAAGGAAACGGTACCCCTCGTTGTGGCAGGCACGAAGCTTAATATAGATAAAAAAGGAAAAAAAAAAACAGAAAAATATAAGCTGGCGATTCTTCTCCGTGCATTTGAAAATTAGTAGTTCAAAAAGGGAGAGAGAGAGAGAGAGAAAGAGAGAGAGAGAAAGAAATTATATGAGGTAACGTTAATGCGAAAGGAATAGATTACAATACGTTAAAAATCAAACATTTAAATGTCTTGCAAAACGAGAAATCGTACATGACATATATTCGAGGAAAAAAGATAGAAAACAATTGTCTAGACTTGCCACTGATAATAGATCCTGTCTGTGCATTGTTAAAAGAAACAAAAAAATATAGGCGAGACACATAATGGTTACAATATTTACTCAGGATGCTTTATTATGGTCCACCATATAAATACAATATATATGCGTGTGTGAATTATTGGTTCGTGGTGCTAGCGAATAATACATCCATACCATGTAAATGTATTTGTTATAAAAATTACAGAATCGTTCCGACATTTTACTATACTGTGGAACGATCGTGTAATATATTATACAAGGTTCATAAGTAAATTATACCACCGGTATATCATAGGAACAATACTTTATCTATATTTAAAACAAAAATTAAAAAACAACGTACAGTTTGCTAAATAACTTCTATTTATGTATATATTAACATGATCCATAAAGATGAAAAATCCACGTAAAACACATACATATATATAGAAATACACATATTTTTTAGGGTTGTTTACATGATCAGCCTTAAGATTTAATTGAAATTATAAAAAATGCAATGTGTATACAACATATATACAGATATAATGGGCAGAGCTATACCGTGTTACGTTATCTACAATAATGATTGAATGTGAATAACTATCTTGCCATACCAAATGTTAGAAAGCACATCCATATACATATTTCTATTCGAATAGCTTCGACAAATTTGTTTTGCGTACAAAAAATTGGCTATACTATATAGAATTGGTTGATAAAAAGGATAGGAATCATAGAGGGAACAACGGAAACGCGAAATCAAGCGAAACAGGTTAAACTACTAAAAAAAGTGAAAAAACAGCAGGAATAATAATAGAGGGCTCTTGAAAAATTTGCGCATAACATTTGTAGTAAATTGCACGAAGCCTATGTACACCTAAGCTAATCAGTTGTAATCATCTTTTATTATTAGAAGTTTTAATTTCATATATATTAAAAAAAAAGTAATTCTGAAGTATTTAATAGTCATGGTTAGCAGAGTTATATAAATAATGCCTGTGATAATAGTATCGTCAGGATAAGTTGTGTCCTTACAGAGTCTCTGATGTTGTTGCTAGGTAAATATGATTAGGGATACCAACGAGATGCTATTAGCAATGCCTTGTGGAAGGTGTATTTATGTTTAATGCACAATAACACCCGACACAATGCTATCGATGGTCTCTAGCGGTACATTGAATATAAGAATGAAAAAGAAAATATCGAGAAAAAAAATAAAGAGAATATGTTGCAAAAATTTTGCCAGTCGTATTTAAAGAAAAAAAAAAAATAAACTCATAGCGTAACGAATGGATGACCATTAATGAGAGGGTCTTTTACCTCACAAAATTATTATATTACGCTCACCTTATATATACTTGAATATTTTAGTATAGATTTACTCTATTTACATATTTTTATCTGTGGAAGACTACTTGGCTAATTTAGGCCACTGTTGAAATTCACCCCTTATTTGCCTTGATGTTTAAATTACAATAATAATATAAAAAAAAAGAAACGAGGATTACTTGTTACGTAAATGGTAATTGTGATAGATTTTTTGATGATTTTTACAATCTCAAAAGTCTTATTATCCTAATATGTATAGAATTATAATAGTCACTCTCTACATAAACTACATAAAAAGCTCTGCTTACATTGTTAAAAACTAATAATTATTAAATGAAAAAAAATAATGAATATATCACCCTTATCGTAAGCAATTTACGAGGCAAAAGAAATACAGTCTATCAAATGATATATTCAAATATGTTCTATGTACTATACTTTTAACTAATCTAATGTTTTTATCGCAAAAAGAAAAAAAAAACATAGTTTCCAAGGCCTTTTTTGGGTGCCACCTGAAAACTTCGACACGATTTCGGTTTCTCTAATCGTTTTTTGTATTCATTTTTCAATGAAAAAATTATCTATACGCAGCTTTAAAGAGAAAATATTAGGGAAAAAATTTTATGGGAAATATCTATCGTTTTCGTGATTTACATCCAAGACATCTCTGTAGTAACGATCAACAAATGTATTTGATTCGGTAACATTTGTATAATCTAGAATGCAACAGAGAATTCTTTGGGTTCCATTTGATTCTTCTTACAATACAAATTTCCCCTAGTGTTATTTATCGTTAGACCAAACGTTCAAAAAATGTCGCGCTTATATCAAGGTATTTTAAAACTTAGCCACGATGAAGTTTTACCTCAGATACAAATAATATCGAATTTTAATTTTTTATCTATCGAACATCACAGTTTTTTTTTTTTTTTTCTTTTCTTCGTTACAACGCTTGGTCCATCGATCTTGTAACGCATAGTCAAGTTACTTAAATTTTTATGGATCGAAAGCCCGCGAGAATGAGAGAAAAAAAATTAGTTCGAACGTTTGCGATATAAATTGCTGCAGCCGTAAATACCGTGTCATAAAATTGTACGAATGTATCGTAATAAAAAGCCGTTGTCTGCCAACCGTAAAGTTGACGAAGAACAGGAAATTTGTATCGCGTAAATAGTAAAACAAAAAACGCTTAAAAAACTAACGACTCAAATCGTAATTGAGAAAAATGAATTAAAAGAGAAACATGTTCCTGATTTCGAAGTTCGTATCATATTTAAACAATACAATAAAGTAAAATAACTCGCGTGTTTTTTGCGAATATCGACGGGGGCATCTACGCATACAATTATATATATATATATCTATATACACGCATACACACGATATATAATATATATATACATATACACGTTAACGATAAGATTTAAAAATGAAAAAAAGACGCAACATTAACTGAATTCTAGCCTACGGTTAATCATAGTCTTCCTAGTGTTCTGGAAAAGGAAAAAGTTCATCTTTTTTCGATTGCTGAGTTTGTTTTAAGTCATGGTTTTCCAGAAGCTGTGTCGCGACCGATTCTTAGGTAGAAAGAGCGTAACGAATAAAACGTATCCTCCCCCAACGGTGTTTATGCTGACAAGAATTGGCAAGTTGAACGATTTGTCTCAAATATTTTATCGGACATGACTTTCATCCGTTACATAAATCCATTTCGAAAATAGGAAAGAGAAGGAAAATTGTTCACACGTATATTTTCCTTCGTGTTATTTCGAGCCTATTTGTACAAAAGGAATAATGGATGCAAAAGTTACGGAAAAGGAGGTATAGGGAAATAAAGAAAGAAAGAGAGAATGAAAATGGTAGAACAGGTTCGCGGAAGAACCGTATTTTATAGTATATTACGTAAAACAAGTGCGTTTCTTCGTTGCTTTTTTTTCTCTTAATTTGCCTTCTTTTTAAATACCATTTTTTCCATTCTTTTACTCGTTTCTGGTAAGTCATCTTTAAACGACATTAATTTTATCTTTGCCGAGGCATTATGTATAAATATGTGTTCTGTATTAAGATTAAGGACACGCTCTAACGCAATTTCTATCGAATCGTGTTAGTGTATTTTTTCTTTTTTTTTTTTCCTTTTTTTTGCTGACATGAATTTATCGTTTGTTCTTCTGGATGCGTGTGCTTTTACCATTCATGACGATTATTCTGTGAACAAGGAATATCGTTTCCGGTTCATTTTGTATTATTTACGCGCTGTGTAGCGTTTACCCTTTACGTTTTTTCTTCTTTCCCACATGACTTTGACGTGTTTTTTATTCTTTTGTATTTTTTTTACCTCTTACCTCTTCTATTTTCATCTTGCGAATTCATCCGATTTTGATCATTGTTACTGTTTCGTGTTTTGTTTGTTTCCCTTTCCTTCTAAATCATTCAGTTATTTCTTCTCCAGTTCTTGTTTTTCGAATACTCAGACCGAAGTGACGAAAGACATGAATTTTTGAATTTCGTTGCCTCTTGACTCGACGCCACCCCACAACCCTCAATCTCTTTAATCGAATTTTAGAATTTTATTTTTGTTAGTTGATTTATGCTACGTTTTTACAAATTATTATTACTACTATCATTATTAATATTATTATTACTATTATTATTATTAATACTACTACTATTACCATTACTACTACTACTACTATTATTATTATTATTATTATTATTATTATTATTATTATTATTATTATTATTATTATTACCAGCACTACTAATATTACTTCCAATCTTTTAACGATCATTTCTCTCGAAAGAAGTAGATTGATTTAAGAATAACTAGCATTAAGATTTTGCATTTCTTTCTGTTTATCTTTTCCTCTAAAGACAATGTGCAGATCTCAAGCCAAATATATTCTCGTTAACCGTTTGAAGGGTTGTGTATCGGCGATGTTCACGAAACATTAATATCCCTTCGTACATACTTGAGTTCTCTTCTCCCCACTCTGATTCCGTTTTCATCGAAATAAGATTCCCTTGAAACTGTGTGATCATATTTCTTAAATATTTTATTCGCGTGGCTATAAATCGAAAGGAAATAAGCAGCGTTGTCGTTTTTTCTGCTAGAGAAACGAAAGAAAGGTGGCAAATTCTCTTTGAAACTTGTGCTTAAGTTGATCACGCATTCCGACGACCGTCTTATTTTATTTCATTTCAATTGATCCATTTATACATGGTGAAATTCTTTAGTGCCAAAATAAAAATTTCGAAACAAGAAAAAAAAGAGATGATCGAATAACAGACTGCTCTCGGTGTAATGTAACGAATGAAACAAAGAGGGAGAAAAGCGCTTTGCTTGCAATCATTTTTTTATATTTTAATGTTTTATTTCTCGTTAATATTTATTTATGATAATTCGTTTGTTGAGTTCCGTTTACACGTAATTATATGGGGTGTATAAGCGGTTCTAAAGTTAAGGGAAATACGAAGAAAGAAAGAAAGGATTAAAGAAATATATATGTATATATACACAGACACACATGTACACGTAAAAGAAAAAAAAAGTGAAAAATTAAAGAATATTAAAACGATTATAAAAAATCCTTGCTTAGTCAGTTAAAGTACAAATGTTTAAATGTATTCTACGATTAGGTAATAAGCGAAACGAAAGAAAGGATGGTAACTCGAGAGTGAAAGAATAAGGGAGAGAAAGAGAGAGTGTGAATGAGTGAGAGAGAGAGAGGGAGAAAGAGAGGGAAAGAGTGAAAGAAGAGAGAAAAAACAAAGAGTGAGAGAGCAAAACGCGTAGCCGCGTATAAACTTGGTTTCATTCCTTAATAAGCCTCTGATAGCTTTATTTATATTTGCATTAGTTACTTGACGTTAATAATACTTAAAAGAAAAGAAAAACGAAAAAAAAAGGAAAAAAAGCTGAGAGAGGGCGAAGAAAAAAGAAAGAAGGACCTTTTGCTTCTTCTCCCATAATATGCGATATATAATATATATATATTTATGTATATATATATATATATTATATATTTATATATATATATACACACACATATATGTATACAAAGCTACGTTTACTTTGATATTATAAAATGAAGACACGTTCCTTTTTTTTCGGAGATGTTTTCTTTGACATATCAAATTGACCACAAGAAATGGACACACTATAAGAAACCGTTGCATTCCATCGGCGTCGGTGGACGCTCTTCAATGTTTCCCGCGATCTCTTTTGTGTTTATTCATGTTTCCGATAACGAACTTGTTAAACCTATTTCGGCAAGGAGTACTCCTTGTCCGAGGTAACGCTTCATTGAGACTAGAAGACAATTTTAAACGTCCTCGATGCACATTAGAAATGATTCTTCTGAGGAGAGATCCTTTTATCTCCAGTATCAACTGGAACTTCTACCTAGATAGGACAATTTTTGGCTTGGTGTTTGGCTCGGCGTTTCCTTTGGAAGCAGGATATAATTTGATGTTTCTTCGAAGAAATCGAATCAAATTTCATGGTTTTTAATATTTTATGCATAGGACAGGGTACAAAAATTCAGAGAAAAAAAAAATGAATAATGATCATAGAAAACTATGTTACCCGATGTGCAATGTTACGATTAAATATTATTTGTAATTTATAATTTATCATTTATATAAGTTGTGCTTAGTGTTCCGTCGGTATTTAAGGAGACAGGCGTTGTAATGATATTTTTCATTTAATGTTGTATATTTCTTCCACGAAAGAAGCTCACTTGACTCGATTATATTACGCGTAATGTAGAACTTTTTGTCTTTTAAGTCGACTTTGTATCTTCGCTTTCAATTAACTATATAATTTCCTGCATTAAGCTTCTTTAATAATCATTGGGTCTTGTACCTGGAAATAGAGTCTTCAGAAACAATCTAGTCACAAAAAGTTCAAAAGCTTTTTGTTCAAATAATAATAGCTCAGAGCTATAGTTTTCCCTAGTGCCGTGAAAGGTTTATCGAAAGGATTTACTTGCTTCAAAAAGATTCGTCAATATTTGAGTCCGGATCCATTCCGGGTCCGAATCGTTAAGGAGTTTTTCTATACAATTTTATAATCCTTCTTCTTTAAGAAAGAAAAAATCAAAACCTATTGCAAATAGGAAAAGTCAGGGTCCTGCAGGCAGGGTGATAGACATCGTCAACTAAATATACTGCAAAAAAATATGGAAATAAACGCCGAGCCACATATTGAGTAGTAGAATACCTTATATGCTGGAATTAAATAAGGAAACGATGTTCTTTGATGCTAGAATTTAAAATAACACAATATCCGTTAGGTATTTCGTGTACGTTTTAAACAGGAACAGAAACAGACAAAAGTAAAAGAGTGACAACTAAACGAAAAAAAAAAAAAAGATGAAAAAAATTCCCGGTTCGCTGAGCGTAAACCATGTTTTCCTGAAACCACCATTGGTATTTTTTATTAGAGATGGAATTATTCGTGAAATGGAATGGATTTTAAATGTTCCAACAAGTTGCTTAAGATTTCAAAACTGTAAACTGTATAAAAGGATAGTACAAGACAAGAGAAATGGTAAATCGTAAATGCAATATGGAGAAAGCGTGTATTCCAAATATATTTTTTATATATGCTAATGGGATGCCAAGGAGCATGGTCGCGTTATAAACGTAAAATATTGTATTATTTAACGTTACTCGTTCGGTTATATGTAACGCACACACATATATCGAGCGTGTGATTAGTTGTCAGTTCACCCAAGACTATTCAAGCCTTTAAATTCAATACGTATATACATATACATACATATATACATATGTGTATGTATATATATATATATATTTATAGTCGCGAATTTCGTTTTCAAAGTATTTCGGTATTTATATATATATATATATTTATAAATATATATAAATACACTTACTATTAAGTCCCAAACGAAAAAGGCGATATCTTTGACGATTCTAATTTTAATCCATTCTGAACGTCTCCACCCTCCCCCCTGAATGTCCCCAAAGTTTGTTAAACCTAGTCTTATATAATACACGTACACGCATATACAATACATAAGTGTAAATATATATATGTGTATATATGCATACGATTCGTATGTGCACACACACACACATACGCGCGCGTGTGTGTATATGAATGCGAGGTTTTCCCTTTCGTTTAATGCGGATTTTTCGCTAATTATATTATTATTTTATTTTCCTTCCTTTTTTCTTTTTTTCTTCTACGTCGGTACCTACTAAATTTTAGTTTCATTTTTATATGGAATATTCAAATTTATGGTATTATACGTATACACATCTATATACACTTTTACAATAATAAAAAGAAAAAAAAAATATAAATGAATAAATATTTTAATCTACATACTATATATTATTATCTATTTAAAGATATATGAAGACATTTGCTACTTATATATTTGTCAAATGTATATCGCGCTCCAATTTGGAAAGGTGTTCTCGCGGGACGGACAGAAAGGCTGAATGAACCACTTACTATAGTTATTATAGTTGGCTTTCAACCTTTTTATGGAGATGTTATCTCGTTGTATGTTAAGGACGTTTTGCCTTTTTTGTACGAGTGATACTGTTTTAAACAATTTTTTATTTTTCACGTCATTTACCTTATTGCATCGTCCGTGTCGCGCCCCGCGGTAAAACGTTTCCAAGTTTTACTCAAACTATTGCAGTTCTTTCAAACATGTAGAAACATATGTTCTTGTCTGCGCATAGGCTGCAAAATGCAATAATTAATATATTGTGATGCTCACAAAAGCACATAACATAATTTACCAAAATTGTAATGTTTAAAATATTTCATGTGATTTTGGAAACTGTTATATTTTTTATTTCCTGCCAATTGTTTAATTTGTAATGTTGTTCTTTGTTCTTTTTCCAATAAAGTAAGCGAACCAAACATCGGTGTTTTCTGTCTTCGTATCAATTTCTTTTCAGCCTGTTCGAATTCCTCGGACCATCTTAAATTTCCGATATGTACTTTCTTCAAGGTAAGAATTAAATTTAGCCAAATAAAAAGAACAGGTATTTTGGATAAATATACTACTATTTTTATTTTCAGATTACTGATATTTTCATACAGTTCTCGACGCATAAACAATATTTTCACATGTTTAATGTTCAATCCGAATCAGAATCTCGGCGACCGTATTGCTGTTTGGGTAGTTCTTCCTGTAATTCCAGAACATGTTCAATCGCTTTTGGTTTTCCATCATCCCCAATGCGACAAGGTTGTACTAGTCCTTCTCTGAAGTAACAAAATGTATATTTGAAATTAAGTAAAATAGAAATCCAATTTTATTGGTATGCACAAATTGTTCAAATTAGTAATTACCTTGTTAATTTATCAACGAGTCCTACAAGTTGTAAAGCTTCGTACTCTTTTTGTTCCTCTGTCATTCCTTCTAAAGGATTTGGTTTTGGGTGCTCGTAACAACCGATTACCGGATTGATTCTTCAAATTAATAACGTATGATTAATATTAAAAATTTACTAAAAATATATATTATAGTAAAATACTTACTGTTCCTTATGTTTCAAATATTCCTCGGTTTCGCTATCTTCCGATTCGGAAGAATAATCTGACTTTCCTTTGTTTGGACCTAGTAATCCTTTATTTGCAAACATACCAGCGGCATTTCCATATCCGGTGTACTTTACCATACGAGCAACTGAAAGAACAACTCTTTTGTCAAACACGAAACTTATATCGTTCAGTAAATTTTCTTTGTGCAATTTACCATTTTCTTTACACAGTATAAACAAGAACTCCGCGACTACATCGCGTAACTCTGTTAAAGGAGAAGTTAGTAATTTACACAATTTCGCCCTTAAAGTTGTACCTTCTTCTGGACGATGCATTACATCTTTCAAAGGAGGTAAAATCTTGGAAGAAGAAAGAATAAATTACAGTATATTTTTAAACGATATTTTAATCGACAAAGAAACAATCGTTTTTACTTGTAATCTAGTATATTTTCGTATTAGCCTCTCTGTCTTAATAAGTCTAATAAAAGCAGTAACGATTGGGGTAAGATTTCCTATCAAATCGTCTTTACAATTTAATCTTCTATCGAGGAATTTTAACAAAACGGATATTGCACTCATATCAGTATCTTGAAACACATGTTTTCCTTTTTCTTTCAGAGGAGGTATAATCGGTGAATAACAGTTATATGGTATTACTGTTAATAAGTTTGCAATGTTACTGAAATAAAAATGATAAATGTAAAAGAATGACAACCGCATAAGTATCAGGTATACAAGATAATAATGCAAAACTACCTTTGAAGATCATCTTCTTTCTCGTATTTAAGTAACAGTAATTTATATAAAATTGACACTAAGTTTTCATTCTTTTCTTTTTCTTCTGTTGTATCACTCGATTGCATGTACAAATTGAACAGAGCTTTTAAAACTTCGCATGCTAATGTTACATCAGCTTCCTAGAAGTAAAAATTGACTATTACTTATTTTATTATAAAATACATTGTTTGCCTTAACTATAAATGTACCTTCAATATGTTTGATTGATTCTGTTCGCTTTGAATACTTATATTTTGCAAAATATTTATAAGACACTCGTCTCCATTCAGTTCTACTTTCACAACTTGTCTCATGGAAATGTTGAGGGCAGTGATTAAAAATATGATTCTTATATAAAATAACAATACTTCATGAGGAATGTCATTGTTATACTTTGCCAAACGTTGAATCAGACATGACAAACAGGGTGTATTCGGTAATGTCTGTTGCACTTTTGTACTATTAAATATAAGATTACATAGAAGTTTAAGAGACTCAATGTTAACTGTAAAACAATTAACATAAAGAAGAATATAATGTTACATTTACAACAGTATTTCATTATAAAACAAAGAGTTCTTACCATTATTATAAGAAATTTGATCTATATCTGTACTTTTTAAAGCTGCGTTATCTAATATAGTATATAATCTGTCATCTGTGATTAAGTCATTTAAGTCTGTTTTATCTCGGCTATGTTAATGAACAAAAACAATAAAATTACTTTATCATAATTGCAGAAATTAGCAATACATACAAAGTAATAGTAAGCGGTGTCAAAAGTTTTAATGCTCTGCTAAAAATAAAAGTGCATTTATTCTATAAGGGTTTTTTCTGTATGAACATGGGAAATGTAAATAAAAGCATGAAACTACATAATATCTGATATAAATGTACACGATTAAACTATACTATAGTACTACCTAAGTATTCGCAAAGTGGATAAGCATTTATAATGAACAGATGAAAGCGAAGTATCTGACAAGTAAGAAAATAATGTATTCCATAATTTTTCTCGTAACTGTTCCTTATTCAATTCTTCAAATGCAGTTCTAGTTCCATACTGAAACAACAGAATAATTATTTGAGCATGATTTGTCATTTAATAACACAGTGATAAATAAGTATAAAATTTGAAACTTACATTATTTTGAAACGTATCGATATCGCTTGAAAATTGATCACTTGGGTCAGAGATTATTTGTTTTATTAATGTGTCCATACTGTTAGAAACATACTATGCTTTTAGAAATCTAAAACATCAACAATTGTAAAGAATTGAAACGAAGGAAGTTGACATTCGGTAAACGCAGGTAAACGATTGACCAACGTTTTAGGATGCGAATGAGGTTCATAATAATGTAATGTAAGCGAGCGCCATCTGTACAAGATTTTCCGATAAAAAAACATTTACATATATAAATATGTTAGAATGTACCATATTTTAGCAATTGTTAGAAATAGTTATTCGGGAAAAGAATTCAAAAAGTACTGCACTTAGAATCGATATTTATCGAACAAGCAATTGATTCGTCAGTCAGATCGTTCGAAATGTTGAATCGATAATTGTTTAAAGCAGTTCGAGATAAATTTGATGCGTTGTAAATTTCACAACGTAATGACAGTGTTTGTAATTTTTAAATTTGCAAATACAGTTTTCAATATCAGTAATTGAATATTTTCAATGATATAAATAGTAATGGTGGCAGTACCAATAGTGGTAAGAACAATTATTATTACGATATTTATTATTATTTAAATTATTACATCCTATATTGCATCATTGTATTACTCGCAAATTTAACATTATAATTATTTAGAGCAGCAATAATAGTAATAATTTGTTTATAATTGCGTTTCTAAACTAGACGTTTTATTTGAATGTTAATATGATAACGGAAAGTAATTTAAGGTTTCTTACGTGACTTGTTATATATATATATATATATATATGTACATATATCTATTCAGGTGGTTGTGAAACCCTTATTACTCGCGACGCTTCCGTGTTACAACGTCTTACCCAGGATTGACCCTGTAACATACATAAAGGACGTTGCTGAGAGTAGTCTACAGAAAGGGCGTGGAACTCGCAATCGAAAAGAAACAGGTTTCTATTCGCAGGCTTCAACTTGTCGGCCATCGACTTCGTGGTCGATACATACTCTGGCGATTTGGTTCAACGACTTTCCTTCGTATACAAAACATAGCGGTGGACATTTCTTCGAACTTACTAAAATAGGAACGATCTTGCGTAGATTATATCACATTTTTATAATTGTTTTGTCTAATAAGTATCTTTTTTAGCCACAAATACTGTAATACAAAAAGATAAGTTAGAAGAAATATTATTTACATATTGTAGAGTTCTAACACAAAACCGTATAATACATATAAAGGGATATCGCAGAGTAAGGAAAGAAACAAAAATGCAGTGCAAATCATTTTATTTCCAAAAAAAGGCAAGCCAATATTAACATTTCATCCAACGACTTATTTACATAACGTAGAATGCTCCTCAAATTACCACCAATTAACGTACATGGATTAATTATTTAAAAAAAAGCTCTACTTTTCATATGTTATTTTTATCGTCTCCTACTTCGCACTTTCGCACAGTTCCTTACACACAATTCCAGAGATCTATCCGCCATTCAAGCCGATGCTATTTTTAGTTGTCGTTCGTGTCAGAGCTAACGAAGAAGGGAAAGAAAAAACAAGAAATAATGGTACGATCGCATTGGATGTGCACATTAGGCGTGGCACGAAAAGAGCAGCGATACAACAGGTGCCTCATATAGGAAACACGTTAGTATTGTCAGGCTCCAAGGACACGCCGCTATAAAAACTTTTCTATCCCATTCGAGCAGGCATAAAAAGGGCGCGGGAGAATAGAGGAAGGATGACCTTGAAAAGTAGGGTTGTCCAACGAGCGGGAATAACGTGCGCATAGATGCGTAAATTATGCGTCACTTTCTAAACGAACTAGGAACACGGTACGTATTTATATTTTAATTTGCTATTAGTAAAGTATTCGAAAAAGGGCCATTTAATCGAGTTAATTATAGAAATTCATTTCCGCTGCAAATTGTAATTATTATAGTCAGAAGACAGGTTTTATCTATTTAAAAATTTTAGCACAGTTTGATCAAATATTTGTAAGTATGCGAACATTGTATAAAACGTTGTTATAAAATGGAAGACAGAAAGAAACAGGAAAATGTAAAAAATTAGGATAAAAATGTATAAAAAATATGCAAGTATATGTACATTGATTAAAAATGATTTAAATACATATTATTTCAGTGACTGGTTGATGAAATAGGGGACTCGGCGTTAGTTTTCCCAAAATCTAACGAAAGTCGGAAAAAGAAGAATGCGTGTGTGTTGCGCGCAGTAGGCCTGGTGGATGCACTTTTGGGAAATCATGCATATACGTGGCAACATCGCACTGCGGGTTCACATTCCACGTGATCAGGACCGGTTTGCGGGTGTCGACCTACTGACACTCGTCTACCATAGATAAACCTTAGCCCTGTATGTGGAATATACCATATATGTATGTTTTTTTTAACTGCAACATTGGGAACGTCGTTGCCACTGATTTACAGTTTAGCATAACGAAGTTTTCCTCCGGCTGTAGGAACGTTATCGGAAAATGATGTCGAGGTACTGGGCACAGAATGATTTTCAATTTTTGTCAGGTTACCAGATCAAGGTAACATTTTTTATTGAAATACGTTAACAATAAAAAAAAATTTCATAGCAAGAGAAAATACGAAGTCTAACATTCACATTACCACTTTGGATAATTCGTATAAAAAAAGTTCCGCCATCCGATGATATATTGCAAGGCCATTGACCGAGGAGACCCCCGATCGATGATCAGCTACCTGCTGATACATTGTTGACCGTACAATGGCAAAAGCATCCTTAGCCCGATGGGAATCCTCGAGCGTCAAGTGCAATTATTCCGTGTAACCGAATTCACTATATTCACGTAGTTGGATCTGCTTTGCCTGTGGTTAAGCTGTTCATTGTAACTACCGGGTGCAACGCCCCACTCACCTGTGATATTTGGATCAACGCTCATTTCTGTATCCTTTCCTACGAACGCAACCAATTGCTTCAGCAATAGATCAATGATCAGTTTTGTAAATAGTTGTGTATTTATGAATCTAACCAGTATCGCTATAAATCTACTCTCGTAAAGTGATTGATTATTTAAATTGATAAGATACTCAAAACGTTGCCTATAAATATTTTTTGGATCGAACTTTTGCTCACGTCTAAATTTTAAATGATATTTACTAATAATAAAAATGTAATTACAGATATACGAGTTCTTTTTTACATAAATGATTTGAGGCAAAATTTGAGAGTGTTTTGAAAGGAAGTCAGGGGCACATTGAACCTATCGCGAGGATGATAGAGAAACACATATGAAGAGAAACAGGTTCCTTCGAGGGATTCAAAACCGCTTGCATCCACCTTTTCAACCGAAAGCGGTCTAGGCCCATGTGAAAGTCCCTCTCCTCCTTCCGTCTCCCCCTCTTCCTAGATACTTCTATCTACATGCTTCTTATGTTTTACATAAAAGAAATGCGCAGGGTGTATAACGGTTCGTATGTTCTTCTACCCAATTGCATTATTACATAAGTTTGATTATTTTTTCGTCTGTTTTGTAGAATGAATTTCCTTGTTGACAAAATTCGTCGAATTACATCAAGCTGGAAACATGCGAGAATATGGAATCAAGACTTCCATGCTATCTGTAAAAGCGATAAGCAAACAGTTGATATCCCTCTATCATCACTTTGCTCGTGATAGATAATGTGCAACGTTGCTATAGTTATCACTAATATACTCTCTGACTTTCTGTATTTTCTTCCTCCGAAACCGAAGAATCACTTTGTCTCCCTGTTTTCTTTTCACTAACTTACTTTTAATAGCTTCTCAGAACGCATGGCTGTCCCATGAAGCTTTTCGCTCGTCCTGCGTTTTTTTTTATCGAAACCTTGGTCGTCCTGAAACAAGAGGGAGCAAGTGCTGCTAAATCTGGAGCACAGGGTGGATGTTCCATTAAATAGATCTGTAACACTTCTAGCAGTATTCAATTTCTCCAACCTTACTTACAGTCTAAAATGAATATTTGTATTGCATTAAAAATCTTTGAAATAGGAAGCTATAAATAATTACAAAAATTTATGACATATTTTTTACAAGGTTTGATGAACATATTAAATAGAATTTTTTCTTGTAGATAGAATATTTCACGGGCAAATTTAGCAATAATTAATACTACAATTTCAGGTAATCTCAAAGTTAAAATACAACAATCAGAATATTGTTGAGCACTGAGAAATAGCAAGCTAACGTTCCAATTGTCATTCTGTAAATTAGCGTAGCTGGAAAACTCTAGGGTTTAAAAGTTGAATAAGCAGCTTGAGGTCGACGTATTCAGCTGGCTTCGGATATGGAATTTTTCGATGGCGCAACGGTACAAGGATTCACCTTAGCAGCTTCGCATTCCCCCTTTTCCTTCGTCTTTTTCTTCGCCTAGGGCCCAGTCTGATGGCGCATTCACGCACACAGATGTACCGCTGATAGTATGCGGTTATGCATGCGTGCGCGCGAGCACGCAGAGGAACGATTTTCTTTTATCGAGGCCATTTTTATCGTGTCTTCTTTTCGTTGTACGAAGTGAAGCCTAGATAAGACGAGAATCAAGCCGCATACTTTTTCGGCCTGTTTTAATACGTCACTTCGCAAGCTCTGGTAAACAGGAAACGACCTGCACGTGCGTCAACGAAAATAGGAAATAGACAAAGAAGAATCCAGATAAGTTTTGTAGCTTTAGCTGTGCCTCACGCGACGATCTTATCAAATTGCTTATTTTCACATATTCGACTAAGAAGGATTCTTCTTTGGTTATTGCTAACTTCATTTTTCTGTAATAATAATAAGTATAAACTTTAATAGTTGTCTCTTTTATTCTTTATTTTCATGATTTTCTTTTGTAGGAGATGAAGAAACGGAGGGTGAAAAATATAATAAAATGCCATTAGTTTTAAAAAATAGAAGAAAACAACGTGATAGACGACCGTAAGAATATGGTGAAAACTTTTGAAGATTTTATAGAGAACGTAGACGCAATCAGCGGTCGCGTCGAAGGCAGGGCGTGGTGGCAATTTTCAGGAACGCATACAGACATACAGGTTTTTCGTGCCTCTTCACACATAAGCGCACCGTTGATTAGTGAAGGCCTCAAGAGATTTCGAGTCTCTTAAAATACGTACAAGTGTTCAAACGCTATTCGAAGTTTAAAACGCAAAAATTTCATCGAAAAGTCTTAATAAATATCAAATGTTTACGATCAATTTTAATTTTAGACAAAAATATTTTAACGAAGAATCATTTTTGAGGTATTTTCTGTACTTTCACAGAACAAACTTTAATTTTTCTAAACAATTAAAATATTGCAATTTTAAGAATTTTACGGTAGTAAAACTCCAGCACGCTTCAATTTCTTTTAAAATCTATCAAATTATTTGCTAACGAAGTGTCGAAATATTTTATTTGTAAAGATACATGTGAAATATTGGAAAGAATATTACAAGGAACAAAATAGCGGAAGAATTGTTATAATGAAAAATCATTAAAACTCTTAGAAGAATCAATGAAACCATAAACGAAGAATCGCTCGAAAACTTTGGGGAAGAATGAAATCAGTAGCTGTTGCTAGCGTTGATGCTTGAGCGAAAGACGTGGGTGTACGCGTACGACATCGCATCGTCGCTACGCACGCACATGCATGCAAGGATGCATCGATTGCACGTGTGTGCGTCGTAACCCGCAGGATATTAGCCTAGACGCAGTGTGATTGGCCGATCGTGCAACCAGGGACGACGATGCCTGTGCAAGTCTTCTAATGCGTACTATTCAGTGGCGTAACTTTTCACCATTATAAGTTTTTTTACCTTCTTTCAAGGAGATTTCTTCCCGCATAACTTTTATGATCAAAAAGTTGCACGATATACATTCAACTAGTACATTGTACAGAATGTTTTCTGATCGACGTTATTGTCTGGGTCTATTATTTTTTTAATAATTGATATAGTTGCATTTTTAGTTACTCGAAAGAAGTATTATGCAATTAGACATAAATACAATTGAACTTTTAACGAATCGCGTATCTACTTTCTTCCAAGTGTCTTTAAAAATACAAAATAATTCATTTCGTTTGCGTACATGACTATCTGTTTATCGTGATTGTTTCGTTCAGGAATGAAATGGAAAATTCTGCCGGATGTTTTGCATCGAGGATCGGTGCCGTTCCCGTTTACGCCACTGTAACAACGCACACGAACGTCGTGCCATGTAGCAACGTAGAAAGAGAAGCAGAGATAGAGCAACACACCAATACACGTTTGCGGCCACCCCTATGCCAGAGTTGAGCCATGACCAGCTCGGCCGTGTACGTCTTTCTACGCACGACTCGTCAGTGGTCGCCGAGTGGGCCGTGGGAGAGGATTTCCGTTTTCGCTTTGACTTTATCCTATATTGTGGGTGTGCACTCGTATCGCGTTTGATCGACAAAGTTGTTGGCGATCGAAAATACTCGTCAATGAAACCGAAGTTAAAGAAAACGATAAATGAAAACTACATAAATCGCTAATGTGAATGAACGTAGTCGAATTACGGGGAAAAGCTACAAGAGGAAAGAAGACGAACACAGTCATCGTAGGAAAAGGATAGAAGAGGAAATATAAAAACCTGAGGAGCGAAATAAAAAGAATATTTCTTTTCTTCTTCGACCTCGAAACAGAACAGTGTATATAGTGTTTTTCTAAATGTGACACATGGTCGTTTCTATTTACAATGCAAGTTATGATTTCGCGAAAATGAAAGAGATGGATAGAAGTTTGTTTTGATCGGCGGTTTCGCGCACACACGCGCCCCCCACATGTCATGCAAATCCAGTAAGGGGATACACTTTTACGGCTACGTTCTTCAAGGAGATTTTAAAAATATCGAGTGATCAAGTGATCAAGTGACGAAGTGACGAATGCGAGTGCACATGCATGCTAATGCCGTACGTCTCCTAGCGTACTCCTCGGCGGCCATTTGAACACAGTCACCACACGGCGCCATCGTTTCGAGAAGGGGAAATCGTCTTGGCGAGTATGTTTTTGCGATATTATGCATAAAAGTTTTATTTCCACTGTCTTTAACTTCCCATAATGCGGTTACCTGATTATCATTTTTTATTATATATACTTTTTTCTCGTTAAACGTCAAATGCAAATTTTAATTTACGTTTACATTATAACAAAAGTTTTATCTTTGATCGATTTCATTGCACAAAGTATTAGTTCTTAGCAAAACATTAATGACAATTTAATAGAAACATGTTTTCATAATATATTCATTTACCAAGAGATAATGCGTTGCAAGCGAAGTCGATTGATTTTTATTTACACATTTATTTCTACATGTTGTAATCGATTCAACCGCCTGAATTATAACTTCGCGTATATGTACGCAAGAAGTGCGTTACGCACATGCGCACAGTCGATAACGTGTTTTTACGCGTATACTGGAAATTAAGCAAGCGAGTAGAAAGAAATTAGGGGTAACTTCGCCGGGGTGACTCATATTCCGTATAACATTTTTTCAACCGTTATTCTAAATTAAATATCTAGCTCTTAAGAAACTTTACATTCAGATTTTTAATTCTATTTAAGCATATGAAACATACGTAATTAAAAAATTTGAAAATTCAAGCGTTCGAAACAGATAAAAAGAAAAATCTATTTATTTGGAAAAATCAGTTTGTAAACTCAGTTGTCAATAAATTTCATTCTTTTAATTTATTTACAGACTCGACTCAACCAATTAAATTGATCGAAATGGCGAGCACGTCACAGCAATACTGTTTACGTTGGAACAATCATCGTTCTAATTTGCTGACGGTATTTGACGAACTACTTCAGAATGAGTCATTCACAGACGTAACCCTGGCGGTCGATGGAGGTGCCTCGGTGAAATGCCATAAAATGGTCCTGGCGGCTTGTTCTTCTTACTTCCAAACTCTTTTCATCGATCTTCCGTGTAAACATCCGATCGTCGTATTGAAGGACGTGAAGTATTCCGAAATTAAGGCTATACTCGAATATATGTACCGAGGCGAGGTGAACGTGGCACAAGAGCAACTGGCTGGATTGCTGAAAGTTGCGGAAGTATTGAAGGTGAAGGGCTTGGTGGAAGAAAATGGTTCGCAAAGTCGTCGCGAAGAAGTGGAAACTTCAATGTCACCGCCACCAGCGATAAGCACGAGTACGACGAGCAGCGCGGCACACAGCAGCGGTCACACGTCACCTCCGCATTCCACTGGTACTTCGTACATGTACGGGAAATCGCCAGTGGATCGAAGTAATCAAATGCCATTACCCATGTGGCCACTTTCCGGACTTCCCCTTTCTCATTCCAGTTCTAATTACCAAACAACATCACATCCACAGCATTCCTCTACTTTAACCGGTTCTTACGACAATGGCTTTGAAACCTCTCCGCTAAAACGCAAGAAGCTCTCCAACATATTAATGAACAGGGACACCCCGATCCTTAGAACGGTGCTGGGTCAAGGTCACGCGGACAGCTCTCAGGGTATTCCTTTATTACATCCGGATAGTCACGAAAACCACTTTCGAAATAGTAGTAATGGTTCATCGAATGAGAACGACCGACGCAGTAGTACCGAGATACCTCATGGAGAACCCGCGCATAGTCCTTACACCGATGTGTCTATGATGGACGAAGACGATAAGCAACCATCGCCGCAATCGTATCCTACCGATAAGTCAGGTAAGAGAAGATTTTATTTGTCTCTTCGGAGTAATTAAATTGCTGTCTAGGCAGATTTCTTTTGATCTCGATCTACTGCACATTTAATCATTTCATATTGATTTAGATTATAATAAATTTATATAGATATAAATCAAACATTTTATTTTATTTTAGGGATCGTGAATTATGTCCCAACGCAGAAGCCAGAATGGAAACGATATAAGCAATATACGCGGAAAGATATCATGTCTGCAATCGATGCCGTACGTACCGGAATGAGCGCGTTACAAGCTGCACGTAAGTATGGAGTACCTTCTCGAACCCTTTACGACAAAGTGAAGAAATTGGGCATTACAACATCGCGACCTTTCAAACGTGGCTCGAATGGTAGTGGCGCCTGTTTTCCGTATGGAATTGGCGGTAATGCAAACGGCGGTATCTATAGTGGTGCCCTCTCCGAGAATGAAAACGAAAATAGCAGCGCGATAGACAGCCCTGGTTCGATTCTCGATGCATATAAGGCCAGAGATGGTCCTATGGATCGAGAAATGCTGGATGTCTCTCGTTGTAGCTCTACTCCTATTATACATTCTATAAAACAACAAAGCAACGAAGATCAAGTGGAAGATCTCTCCGTAAGTCGCAAGTCGGATGTTCGCGTGATAGTCCCACCAACATCTGTAATCAAAGATGAAGAAGATATTGATTAAGACATTGGATAATATGAAGACAAATTTTCTCTTTTTTATCTGTTGTTATCGTCAGAAAGTCGTTTATAGCAGAAACTAAACGTACTATTCATTGGTACAATAATTTCCTGCAGGAATTTAATGATGTTTCATGAAGCGATAGTTGATTGTTATTCTATTAGGGAAATGCATTAGAATCATATGTTTCTTAAATATATGTTGTTTCATGAAACACCATATTTAGGGACCATTATATGAAAATACTTCTAACAAAGAATAAGACAAAGCGGAGAGATATATGTTTGAATTAAAGCCAATTAAGTCAGCATTTGACAAAAGACTCAGGGAATAGCAATAGTAAATTATAAATTGTTTACATCGCGAATATTTATAATAACTGGTATACAAGTACTGGAATAGGGACCTTTGGAATCCCTTTTTGAAATTACTTTACACAAGACTGACTTGTTTCAAGAGACTGAAACGTAATCAGCAATCATGTTCCAAAGTTGTTAAAGCCTAATGTTGACGATCAGTGAACTGTGCCTTTCCATTATCATTGTAACTAGTAACAATTTTAACAAGCAAGATTAATATACTGGCAAATTAAAAGCTGTTGATTCAGCGAATTTAAATATTAGGTGCAAATATATTCGATAAACACTTGCGAAGGATAATTTTATATATTGTTTTCTCCCTTCTTTTTAGATATTTGACAAGATGTGTTTAGAAAAGAAAATGTTCGTAATGGATTTCTAAAATTTACGAATATTCCAACTGCATTAAGCTTTAAACACTTTTGGACCAGTGAATATGCATGAAATTTTATTATTCGCTATCGTGATTCGAATGTTTTTAATTTTTCATTTGCAATCAACGATAGTAGTACTATTTAGAGCCTTAATCGATTTTATATGCCGCGTAAAAGTATATTATTTTAACAATTTTGTTTTCATATTTTTCTTTTAAGAAAGATATATTCCTATCTTTAGCATTAAATGCTGTCCGTAGGAGATGATTATATATACAGGTAATATATGTATATATATAATCTGAGAAACAAAGAAAGGAAAGATAGAAAGAATTATACACTTTGAAGAATTTCATGTTAATGACTGAGATATCGAATGTTAATTTGTTGGTAATTATAAGATTACATTATCGTTACTAATCATGGCCCTGGGATACAGCTGCAATATTGCTCAATATTATGCATGTTACATTACAATAAACATAGAACGAACTACCTCATTGTACAACGAACAAGATTGTTCATTAACGTTAAGACTGATAAGCCGAATCTGCGTTACCAACTCGTCGAAACCGTACGATTTTATTTTACAAACGCTGAGATATATATACATATATATATGCATGCACACAAAAAAGAAAAGTATGTATGTACACCCACACACACATATGTGTGCATATATGTGTGTCGCGCATGGCGTGTGTGTATACTTATATATGTATACCCTGTACGTATAAGTCCTAAAACTACTATATTATAAACAGATATCAATTTTTAATCACGATATAAATTGTAGAAATTCGGGAGTTGAAGTTGTTTCAAGTAAGTTGGAGTCTCCGCTAATAGTTCGATACAGTGGTGTATAGAATTTCTATGAGAGGAACGGGAATGGTATATTCTAAAATTTCTTTTTAAATCAGTGTATTTCTATTTTATGTTGTTCACCCTTAAGAAGCAGCAGACTTTAAAATTAATTGTTTTCTATGTTTTTCTTACATCGGATCGTATATATAAAATGTTGACGATGCATTTGTTCATCATATGATAAGATTTTTTACATATTATTTTGGAGTAAACTAATGTCACTTTGTGTTATTTTAGTCTGAATTGTATATAGATTTTAAATTGATTTGATACTATAAAATTGTCTAATTCGAACAGTTAAACAATCAGTTTAAACGTTTGATGTTTCTTGTAGAATAGAAATCCGGACGCATTATTTAATAAAAGTTCAATGCGCGCTAAGCTTTTACTATAGATCTCAGATTTTATAGAATTATAAGGATTCTCTTGACACGGAAACCACAAATTATTCAAAATAATTGACGTTGGCTAAAAGTTTTTTATTCCATACATGTTTTATACCAAGCTTATTATGGATCTCGGATACCACAAAAAGTACAAATAGTTGTCAGGTCAAACAGTGAATAAGTAAAGATCCTTTTATACTAAGTCTTCGTACAGTGAAATTCGTTCACGATGAGTCGAAATTTAAAAAAAGCAATTCGTCGTTCTTGGTTTTTTGCTTAAATTCGGAACAAATTTCACTGCACTCTTACACCATATAGCCATGATACTCATTGATAAGTACAAACCAAAGCTGCCTTGATACTTTTTTACCTCAGAGTAATGTACATATACATATAGGGCATTCCGTCACCGTTTTATATGGAACTTAAATAATAGTAAACGATGTATGACACAAGCTCAAATTTTATTTGTGCTCTCTCTTATCTTTATATTTATTCATTTACTACCATAACCAAGTAGGAAAGAATTTCATTCTTCCTGTAAGAAATAGATTTGAGCTTTTTAGTATTATAATAGAACGTGTAACATTGTACCTGTGCATCAACTGCGATGTAATTACAAGAAAAAGAGTGTATATATGCAAAGAAACAGTTTTAAATATCGATGAATTTCAATGCCAAACAACAATGAACAAAGAAAATAGTAGTCAAGTTTGAAGACCACAGAAAAATAGAAGTAATTCCATTTAAATGACAAGAATAATTGAATTTAAACGTGCCTAAGTAAATGAAGAAGAATAGTTAAATTAAGAAGAAAAATTAAAAAAAAAAAAACAAAAACGTAAGAAATACTTAGACTGAAATAAACGTAGAAGACTGTGTATATGTTTACTTTTATTACAGAAGTGTATGAAAATAATGTGTTCAGAGCAAAGAGAAAAGAATATATAGTTTTAATTTAAAAGGAAAGTATATAGTATAAAATAATCCGAAGAGACGCACGAATACATATCAGCATTTAAAAATCCGCGAACAGAGATATGGTTTTTATCTACGCAAAACATTGCACATCGAAAAAGGAATAATATGTCATATTTGAAATGGTCCAGGTAAATATATATGTGTATAAAGAACGATGAACCGGTTTTTACGCGTTTAATATAAATCTTAATAGTCGGTTATAGTGCGTAGACGCAATCTTCGATGCCTTATAAGAATTTAGTACTTTAGATATATTAATTACGGAATTAGAATTGTAAATAATCATGAGCAAAAGAGGGGACAAAAATGGAGGGTCAAGGGGAGAGTTATCTTTTATCGTATGTAAATCTAGCGCCGTATTATTTTTTAAGACTGATTTTTTGCTACGTTGAGAATTTGTACGTACACATAAATACACAAAGACATGTACACTCGAAATTGCACTTTCGATTAATTATAAGCCCTTCTATGTTTTACACTTAACACCATAAAATATACGGGTCGTTTCCCATTTCCACTATGTGGACATATGTTATTAGAACTGTAAAAGTTTGTTATGAAATATATCATCCTGAAAAACTCCATACGATTTCTGTCTCTCGTGTGTAAGTAGATATTTAAGAACATTTCATTTTACAATAAACCGGTGATGTTATGTTGTTAGAAAAATTTGTCGTTATTAATTTTGTTTCTAAATATTATGAATAATAATTTGGTATATTTTAGAATTCTAATGATCGTCATTTGATTGTATAATTTAATTAATATATATATATATATATATATATACATACACACACACATAGTTGTGTACGTTAATTTCCATCGATTAATTATCAATAAACATTTACTTTTTAATGATGTTCAAAAATAAATGTTTTATGATTTTATTCTCGATAAAATTGTCGTTTTAAATTTCTTCGCTCCAATGTTTATGTTGTGCGTAGCTTGGAATTCGCTTGTACCCTTGCTACGCTACGCTTCAATTTTGTTTTGACTCTCACCTAGCGAGGTACGCGAACCGTTTAGAAGTCTGTCTTCAGGCGTCGTATTGTCGACGTGTATTTAAAACATACGTTTCAACAATTGGATTCTCCGATTATGATTAAATTTATTATTGGTAAGTAATTTAATATATTTAATAGTATATGTCAAGTGATAAGTTAAATGATAGTTCATGTCCTTTGCAAATATTTTTTTCTCGAAGATTTTATTTGAAATTGTCATCGAAAGTCGTCTGTTAGCGTCTTTTTAATTTGTCTTTTAAGTGATTTTTTCGTTTGATCGTCACGATGTCAGAAACAGTGCTCCAATATCGCCGCAAGGAAAAAATTCAATCAGGCCACCGCGACATACAATGGAGGATTACGTGATAAGGATAGAAAATTAATGTTACGTTAGATTTTCACGTTAAATAAATAATTTGAGAGAACAGTGAACAGTTATCCAAAATTAATTAGTGTAGTATTGCATTGTTCAGTCGTTAAAAATAATATATTGATGCATCAAATACAGTAAAATTTATGGATATAATTACTTAACTAATCACTAATTCATAGTTTTAAGTATGATCTAATAAGCTCATAGATCAATAAAATTTCAATGATTTAAAAATATACGCTGAAAATTTTTAAGTTGCGATTAAATTTGTGCCCATCGGAATTTTTAATTAAAATTTTTCTACGCGATTATTTGATAAAATTTAATATTACGCACCCACATAAACAGTACCACCAATTAAGACCATGCATTGAGGGGCACGCGTATTATTTAACTTTACCATGTAAAAAAAGGTTCGATGCTTTTATTGAATGTGTTACTTTTTTATTCAATTTTTTTAAAAACTAATACCTTTAAGGGTTTCTATTTACAGGATTTGCGAGTAGAGTGGAGTCTTGCTATATCAGGATTCTGTCAATCTAATGGATAGAAAATTGGCGACAATAAAAATTAGGAATAAAGAGGTACATTGTATATAAACGATCGGCTATAAAGCGCGACTGAAGGTCCCGCGAACTACATCGTATTATCCCAGGTCAGTACGCTTTGGTCATCCCAATACTCTCTGTATTTCTATATCTCTAATAAGTCTCGTTTCAGGATTACGCACACAGGGAGAATAATTATGGGCTTGCGCAGATCGTTCGTCGGGGTTAGGGTGAGGGTGGCTAAGGAGAAATAAAGCCTCGAGCCCAGCCGGTGAATGCGGCCGCGAATAGCGAAATTTCTCCAATCCGTCTCGTTCTCCCAGAAACCAGAAAATCTCTACTTAGTCCAAAGTTAATCGTTCCGCTGGTTTGGTAAGCTCTCATTTATTGTCTGTATTCCAAAACGTAACTGAGATATGGATAACGTTATATCGTACATTTTCCTTCTTAAACTTGTATTTTTCAGAACACGCTGGAACATTGGCAGCTGGTCACAACGTTTTCCTGGATGCCGAGGCATGCGCCCTAAAAACTCTGGGATTGATGTATTGCAGAGCGCAGGTACAAATGAGATAGTTTCGCGTGTACGTTCGTACCGCGGTTCCTATCTGTGTATCCAGACACTTGCATGCCGAGAGAGGAATCTGCCTTTCTCGTTTCTCTTCATTTAGATGCCCTTCTTCCGCGATTGGAATCTTTGTATTTTCTTCCATTTTAATTTTAAAGATCCCTGAACAATCTTACTGTTTACAAATAATTCTTTAATCGATTGTCTCATCTTATACAAGTTGCTCTTTATAGTTTGAAACTACAGTTAAGATTCATTAATTAATTATTGCTGATACAATAAACAGTAAGGTTTAATGGAAAATTAAGTTTATGATAAACTAAAAAATTTAGAAATTTGACTAAGAAACAGGAAGGATACATTATTGGAATCAGGTTAGGAAACGAAATCATCGAGAAATAGATAATCAATAGATCGGTTCCGAATAAACACGTATCCGCCTTAAATTACGGAATCAATAAATCTCGGCTACATTTAATTCGTCAGAAGAAAGTGGAACATAACTATAAATATGATACAGGATTAAATTAAATGTTTAGACATCCGACACGGTGTTAGTAGCAGAATTACTTAATAACGAAATTTTATATATAATGATTATTCATTTTTTAATGTAATTTTATTTTTATCGATAGTATTAATTTTTGCTTTTATTTACATTACTAATTTTAATGACATTCTTTTTATCGCAATTACAGATCTGCATTTATTACCTGCTGTGGACAGCAATACTGAGTCCGAGACTTACTTTAGAACAAGAAACCAGTACCGTGAGAAGTTGGGATTGCCCTGCAGAATGCATTTGTCTCTCTCCGAAACAGGTAACTATTGCTAAAGAGAATAGATAAAACCAATGAGTATGTTACACACTACTTTAGATAGAAAACAGGGCAAGCTTGACTCTTGTCTATCAAAATAGGAATACTCTTCCTAACGTAAAGTAATAGAAATAGGATGTAGGATACCATATATACCTTATATAGGAAATGTAGAAACTTCAAAATTCAGTATCTTTAAAGTTCCAAATTCCCAAAAGTCACTTATACCTAATACAATCCATTTTTGCAGGTTCTTTGCAATACAGGTGGGCTAAAAGACATCCCCACTCAACAACTGCCTCAAACAGTGGAGGAACTCTCTTTGATGAAGAACAACTTCCCGGTAATAAAAGGCGATGCATTTGCCGGATTGAGAGTCCTGCGAAAACTAACGATGGATGGTAATAATATTTCTACGATACGTCCATTCGCGTTCCGAGGACTAAGTCGATTACGTGAACTGTCTATCCAATGTACTCCTTTACCGTTCATCGAAAAGTTTTCGTTTGCAGCTCTGCAAAATGTATCCGTATTATTGCTGACAAATAATAAGATTCGATATATCGAAGGATACTCTTTCGCTGGCACGTCGAACATACGCGTGATATTATTGAGCAACAATCCATTGCTCAGAATTCAAAGTCACGCGTTTTCAGGCCTAACGAACGTTGTACACTTGATCTTTCCTTCGGGAATTAGAACCATCGAGCCAGACGCTTTTGATGGTCTGCAACACGTTGGTCTACTTAAATTAACTTACATGGATCTGTCTTCCCTTCAGTCCTACACATTTCGCGGTCTCTTCCATGTACACGCGTTAAATATTCAAGAAAGTGACTTAGGCATTATCGAGAAAGATGCCTTTACTGGCCTGAATCACGTGGATCGGTTAAACATATTAAATAACAAGATTGATTTCATCGAAAGACTATTCTTGAAGAACGATAATAACGTAGAATTGCTCAGGTTTCATGGAAATCACGTATTGGAAGCGCCTCGCCATGCTAAAGACATCAGCCTTGAAGTTGATTCTATCAGCGCCATCGAAAATCATTTTCCCTGCGATTGTCAGGCGCACAATATCTTAGAGAGCGACTTCGTGAATGGCACCGTTAACGAATTTCAAAAAAAAAATTACTGTATTTCACCCATCGAGTACAATGGAAAGCCTATGAACCTCGTCGACTTCGATTTGATTGCAAGATGTCATGATAATGTTGTGCAGGATAATCTTGGGTCTGGAGTCGTCGGAATTTTTATACTGCCGACAACGCTATTCCTCATTCTTTTGTTTTCTATGAATCTCTTTCAATAAGGTCAAGGTTTATGTTGAGATTTCAGTCTAAATTAAAATTGGAATTCTACCTCGACTAATTTACAGAGTAATAGACAATTTTGTAATTTGTTTCTCCCCAGGCGAGGAAATAATATTTCAGTATTTTAATTTGTGATTTTAGTATTAAATTTAAATGTAGTTTTATACTTTGTTCACTTTTAGATATTAAATATTATTTGTAAAAAAGCCACGAATATAAAAAGTACATTACTAAGACAGGTGATTGTTACATGTATTTTATTAAAATAAGATGCATAACATCAAAATAATCAATCTAATATTTGAAATAGTCTTGTAATTTGAAAAAAATAAGACTTATATGATCAGCTACTGTTATAACTTCACTTTGTGGAATCACTATTAAAAGTTACCAAGGACTCTTATTAACGTTCACCATATTCTCGATTGTAATTCGCACAATCTCAAGCATGCGACTACGAGCTTTAACCGATCCATGTAAGCGGTTCGACGAAATTGCATACATATGGATTAATTCTGTAAATTAGGGGTGATTTTATCACGCGATTTAACCATGCCATATATTACTTCATATCAAGTTAACCTCTCGTATTGTTCATATTTTAATTTCCTTGGATTACTCTCAAAATATTGTATAAAAATGTTAAATCTAAATATCTTAGTATATAAGTTTGATTAATTGATTGATGTTACATAGTTGCACAACATGTACAAAACAAGGGGTTAACAATCAGATTTAAAAAGTAACTTTCGATGACGATAATGAAAGTATATAGAGATTAAGGATATAATAAATTCAACTTGTAAGAAGATCCTTTATCCAAATGAAAAAATTTACGCGATTTGAAAAAATGAATAGTTATAATTTATGCTTGGAAAGTTAACTCTTTGAGATACGAAATACTTATTCTATTTACAAATTTGTATTGTTAATTGACAAATAATTATATTGCATTGTATATATTAAAGTTGCTTTGTTTTCAAGATTTAAAATGATCGTTGACATATCCGTAGAGTTAACTTATTGAATGATTGTTCTACATGTACGTAAGCTTCTGTGCATAAAAAAACTACTTGAAAAAATGAGATTTATTATGCAAGAACATATTTTGACGCTATCGATTAGCCAAATTTTCCTAGTAAACTATATATAGTTATTTCTTAGATCTTCAAAATAATTTTTGTGAACGATGCTATTCATGTCATGTAAATTAATAGGCAGTTACAATTTATTGACAAAAATTTGATCATTTTATCAATTAGGTTTTTGACCGAAAATTAATCATTAATGTATTATGCTTATAACTATAAAAGAAGAGGGAATTAATTTTTCCCGTGCCATTTTTAATGTAAAATTTGCATGGCCTTCGGTCAGCATAGTAACCGAGGACCAAACTAGCTTATATTTTTTACCAACATCTATTATTATAACGGTATAACAAAATTAATAATTAAATAGTATAACCTTTTATTGTAGTTAAAAATGGTCTGTCATTTAATAAACGACAAAAATCGACACTCGCGTATTCTTAATAATATGCTTTGCTGTTGTTTCTCGTGAAAATGAAGATGTTCATGAGCCATTTAACAGCAACTCTTTAGAAAGGAACATTGAAATGTATTGAAAAATTTAGAGTCCGCAGGTTTATAATATAAATATATAAGTAACATTTAAAACTGATGTGATACATTTTTTATTACAGTTAGAGCATAATGTAATTCTGTACTAATTTTAATTAAATATAAAATTTTTATTTTAGTGGAACAGTTTCTGGATTAGGTGGTTGTTCTTCATCTATGGTTTCGATAAAGTGGTTCTGGAATCTAAATTGTGCCATCTCCCATTGTATTCGAGATTCCATATCACATGGTGTTATACCTAAATCTTCCAAAGTTGGTACTCCAGGAATTACTTTGTCACTAGTATGGTGCTAAACGAAATATAAATAAGTAAATGTAAATGTAAGAGGTATGTTTTTATCAAGATTAATACTTTATAATTTAATCACACATAGAACTTCCAAAGATAAACTTACTTCTTCTAAAATATCCCAACTCATACTGAAGAAAGGATTATATTTATATATGAATTCATTCAAATCAACTTTCAGATTAAATACTGGATTATACTTCATATCTATGATCTTGTAATAATCTGGTAATCCACGAGACGCTATATTATAAAACCAGTTGATAAGAGTACCCAGTTTATATCGTTTTGGGCTAAAACAAAAATTTTTATATTTCTATAGACAAAATTCAATCATTAAATTGATTAATCATACGTACCCGACAAACTGGTAAGTTTTACCAGCAGTTTCGGGATTTGTTGCAATAGCAGTAATACCAGCTGCTACATCGCCAACATAGACTGGTTGTTTTTCTGTTTTTTCTCCACCTTCCCATAGTGGGACTGTTCTATAAAATATTCAATGAATAAATTAGCAGAATTAATAAACCACAGAAATTTTTGATAGAAGTTATTAATTACTTCATATTTCGCCTCCATGGGTTCATATAATGTGTTATAAAATTATCTTCTTGTCCATATATGATTGAAGGTCGAACAATAGTAGCTTCTGGAAACTCCTCTTTCACTGCACATTCCCCTTGCCACTTTGTTTTAAGAATCTCTGAACCATTTTTTAACATTAATGGCTTATATGAACAAAATAAAGTTTATATTAGTTTAGTAGACAAACAATTTAAATTTTAGAACACATTTGGCAAAAACTTACCTTAGGTTTTTCTTCTGCATTTAAACATGATACATGAATAAAACGTTCCACGTTGCATTGTTTAGCAAGTCTAGCTAACCGTCTGGCACCATCTACATTTACATCTTTCAAATTAAAGTTTCTCGTATTCATACTTGCACCTATTAAATTAATGACAACGTTGGAATACTTTATGCTTCTCATTATGGATTCTTCATCTCTCAGATGAAACGGATGAAATAAAACTTGTCCAAGATCTCCACATAATTTTAGGGGTAAAACAAAATAACGGTCGCATCTATGTGGTAGAATAAGCTATAAGAAAACGTCAGTTATTAACCTCGATAATATTTAGTATGTAGTAATTTAAAATAGTTACTAATTTCAAAATTACGTTGAAAATCCTGTGAAAAATAGAATTTATGATTTACTTACTTGGGTACCAATTTTTCCAAGACGATTACATACGTATCGTCCAACGAAACCATTGCATCCGAATATTGTACACACCACGCCGCTGAAAGAGCTACGACCACCAGTACCTCTTTTCAAGCTGGCCGTCGTCGGATTCTTAATAACGTATGGTTTTGAAGAACAATCGCGATTCTGTATCGCATAGATTGCAGCATATACATTTTGGCTTTCTGCACAATGCAGGTCATTATTGTTATATAATTGCAAAAAATATTAGCATAATTATAACACATTCACATTGTTACAAATTAACAAATACACTAATATACTGAAGTATGAACAAAACAAAATCAACTAAAGCAACAAACGAGCAAAATTGAGAAACTTACTCGTAGCCCGTGTCACAGTTTTCGGAATCCACGCCGCCATATCTATGGCATTTAACCAACACTCGAATGATAGCAGTGCTAGAAAGTAAATTCGTTTTTAGGTTCGTAATGCGCGAATGCTATACCGGAAAGATAGTTTCACGAACACACTATTTTTCGCGCGCCGCGATAAAAGAAAATATTGAAACAGATATAAGTGGAATAATTTATTTAATATCATATCATGTAAAATATAAATCTTGTTATTCGTTCCTTTTTTGTTGATCATCAACATTATTATATCGTAGAAACATAGAATAATACAGTATCCAAGAATAAAACACGCCTATCGCACAATATATCGATGTAAGTGCTAAAGGTAAAAATGGTAGTTTATTGCCAAATATTAACTTATGCAATAATGTTTCGTATACTGTCAGCATTGGTAAATTAGCGATGTATATATATTCATGAAAATAAAGTAATTGTTTAAATTTTATAGAAAGAGTTAGAAAAGATATGACCATATATGTTAGAAGTAACAATATCTTCAATGGAATCAAATTTGTTGGATAAAGCAATGGCAAGAGAGCAGTATGTCCAGCACTGCTTAAAATTAAAAAAATCCTAGCATCCTTTTTATTAGTTACAGCCAGAACACTGAAACATATATAAGTTTATTAAAAATTATTCGCTTTTCAAAATGAAATAGCAAGTTAATTTTTATTTTTGCTCACCACAGTGGAATAATAGCTGTTAAAATAGCTTTCTCGTGTACATGCCAACCAAACAAGAAAGAACATAGGGCACAGAGTATTAAACTTCGCATAAATTGTTTTACATTTGTGGCAAAATTTTTTTTGAAAAAGAGACAGTACAATATAGGCTGAAATTTTATAATGTTTAAATAATGAAATTATATTGAATATTAAAAATTTCAATAGAAATCAGGATACCTACCAGTATTGATGAAAAAGTTAATAAAAATGTTATAAGTGGAGTAGGTGTTGGCAATACTAAGAATAATTGCTCTTGTACTAAACCACCAGTCATTACTGCTAATTTAGTGGCTTTTAACCAACCTAATTGTTTTAAAAATAGTGACAGTAATTTATCTGCACTTATGTACAATGCCCAAGCATTAGCAGCCCAATAAGCATGTACTAAACCTCTTTTAAATGGAAATAATCTTGATAACACCTAAAATGATTATAATTAGTTACAGAAAAAAATGTGGATGAAAATATCATTTACCTGAGGTAGTTGGGAGATGAATGGACCAAATGAAATTGCTAATACAGTTACAACTATACTTCCTAGCATAAATAAACGTCTTAAACATTTATTGCTATTTATACAATATGATTTGAGCAACCAGATTATGAAAATTGGTGCAACATATAAATAGATATGTTTTAAATTCAATAATAATGCAAACCATAGAGCTCCTTGTAGTACACAAATCTAAAAAATAATCTTCTTAAATTTCATATAAAATTAAAAAATATATTTGTATTTACCTGTCTATTTATTTTAACAACATTTGCAATAGCTAATAAGAAAATACCAAGTAGAAATCCATTGTATTGAAAATGTATGTGATCAACTACTAGCAACCCTATATTACATAGTGATAAAATTACAAAGATAACGTAACTATCAAAAGAATTACAGAATACTTTTCCAAGCCTAAAATATAAAGTATAAAAGGTGCTTTCATTATTATTTTTCAATAAAAAAGTATTAATACTGCTTTGAAAACATACTCTTTTACTCCATAAGCAAATATTAAGTCCAAAAATATAACAGTGCCCCTTTGAAAATATATAGTGTTTAATGACACATAATTTAGATTTTCCACTTCGAGCATCTTAGGATCAATAAATTGTGCTACACAGCTAAGGATATATTCGACCCATGCAAACAGTGGTGGATAATCCAAAGTCCATTGCGATTTAGAATGTGTGTACCATTCATTGATTGATAAACTATGTGTTATAGCAAGCCAGTTACGATGAACCTCAAAATCTGTGGAATGACTGAAAATTGAATTAAGTGAATAACATAATTTTACTTAAAATATTATTTAGCTATTCTTAAGATAATTTAAGTTGAGAAATATAACATTGTTTAAATATGTAAAAAAAACATACTATGTAGGTATTAAAAGTAACTTAAAACACGTAATTAGAATGAAAACGCGAAAAAGAATTTTATTTGTATCATATTTTATAGATGGAAGATGCGCTATTTTCGCTTGTCTCGACACACATTCATATTTGTTATCCATATTATTTATTATTGCTTTATATTTCACGTGGCATCTGTTACTATTCGAAAACAATGGTAATATAGTGTTACCAACCTAACTTTTGTTCATTTTCTAAATATCTCTCTTGTTCCTATTACATAAATGCCGGGTAATTTAAATTAGATTCACAAAACACTAATTTTGAAAACCAGATGGAAATAAAAAAAAAAAGATCACTATACGTTTTATACAAAAAATAATTTTATTGTTACTTGTTTCATCAGTTTGTTATTAAATATCAGTTTTTCTTAATTTTGCTATGTTACAATGTAACTTACATTACAATAAAAGAAAACCCTTATATTATTATTTAAGATGCAGATCGGCGATATTTAATCCTTCAAGTACCAAACGAAGGAAAATGAACAAGGTTAAAATTAGAAAAACAATAATAATTTATAAGACGTATTAAGTGTAATTTTCTTCGCAACATTTGATTCGTATTTACAGTATAAATAGATCACATTAAATTACGTGTTATAAAATGGCCGGCAGTTTTAAACAAATACTGCATACTTGGCACTAAAAGGATTAAAAAATATTTTCCCTGATATCCTTTAATTCCAAGCAAGCCTAATTTAACTACAACAGATATATTCTTCTAAGTTTTTGCGAAATTTTGGAAAAGTTGAAAAACTAATATCGGAGCTATATGTACATCAGTCGGATGCAGTTATCAAAGACTGCGCGTCTAATAAGCTCTCGGTAGCGAGAATCGAACTATTCATAATTGGGGTGCTAACTATATTACCAGTTTTTTTATTTGAAAATGGATAGAAACTGTCTATATTCATTTGAACAGAATAATTATTCGATTTACCAATCGGCGATCCACAATTACCGTCTATACTCATTTTTAATTGGTTCACGTCATTTCGTAACAATCTCGCATAAAGTTCTATATGATTCTGTCCACCATTACGAATCTCCAAACTGGGTATCCAACGAAAATAACACTGTGCCCACAGTTCTAAACTTGAAATATTGTATAAAGGTTTTATTATGCATTTTTCTGTTGAATCTACTTCACGAGAATCATAAAGAGGATTGTAAAACAATAAAATATCCTGATCACTAAACTGTTCTCTCCAATCCCAGACACTTCGAAGAACAAGAAAATGGTTTGGATCCTAAAAATCAAATGCCTTTAAAACCATAGTATTTTACTTAATAAAAAGCAATTAAAATATGCCTACCGTAGCTGCCGTCACCCTGTCTTTCTCGCAATTAAAGATGAACGTATCGAAAACTGAAACATGGGCAGCATCCCATAACGTTGTCAGGTACGTTTCTGTGAACTCAAATTCCGCCGGGAATTGTTGACTCAACTGCCAGACACAGTCAAGGTATAAAAGGAGCAATGGAGACTATTGAAATAAAAAGTAAATTCGGGTGAATTTTGTAGATATGACAAAAACATGAATAGCTCGACCAATTTAATATACCTTTTCTGAATTCCTTTTTACTATGTGACCTAATCTATCACAGAATGGGTGCCCACCAGCAACCCATTCTTTTTGCAATAGTGATTGAAATCCATTGATAGTTCGAAAATAAGGATCAAGCAGTAACTGGACTAAACTTGATATAACGCAGCAAATATCTATGCCAGCACCTTCTAAAAATTAACTTTATTAGTTAAAAAATAATTAAGAATTTATAGAATTTTATTTCACACGATCACCTTGTAAAATAACAGAAAATCCTAAATGAAGATGCTTGCAAGCTTCAACAGTTTTTTGTAAACAATATGATACACACTTCAACCATTTTGTATTTTCAATTAATGAATAAAAATTATTATCCTGCAGACAAAATTGCCTGATGTTCTCTGAAAAAATATCAAGTACATACAAATATAAAATATTTGTTTAGAAACTTTATAATAAATTAGGAATTTACCTGAAGAACATAAACTGGCAAATTTCGAAAAAGCTACAGCTACTAATTTTATGCTAATATCTTTATTTAATTCTAAAACAATTGGTGGCATCTTTTGTGGGTGACTTTTTCGAACATTTTCGAAAATAATATTTTCTTGCATTCTATTGGTAACTAATGAGGAAAGCTCAGACATTTTTACTAATGCTGCACCATGTGCACTTGACCAAGACCAAATTGGTGGACGGTTGCCTTGGAAGTACTTAGCTGCGTCCAATAACTGATTATCGGTAATGGATGCTGGTACAATTATATACCGTGACAAACTGTTAATAAATTGTACATTATTACATATTATGTTAAATAATATAAAAAATTAAATTTAGGTAAATGTTATATTCACCTACGACAAAGTTTAAAATCAACATTAACGGTAGATAATCTCCAAAATTTTCTAAGTTTTTCGTTACCTATGGTTCGTTCTAATTCATTGTGCCAGTCTGATATATCTCTAAATAAACGAACAGCTTTATCGAGACTACTATAATAAGCTTCCCTGAAACAAGGATAAACTAAGTGAGTTTTACACTTTATATCGGTTTACTGCTATTATTTAAATACTAACCGATAATCATAAGCAAATAATAACTGGTGTCTATTAGGAAATGAATGATGTAACATTGCTATCAAAAGTTTTTTTACTTGATCTGCTGGCGAAAATTTGAAAGAAAAGGACCAAGTTCTAAAATTCTAAAACCCATAATCTATTAATAAACATTATCAATGTAATAAATATAAACTGTTAATAATAAACAGATATATAGTTACTTTACAGATAATAAATATTCCTTTTACTTTAGATGGTACACTATTACCAGGTACCAATTTTCTTTTCTTATCACCTACTGTCATATAAATATCTTCTATGTTTGTTAAACATGTATCCATGTAACCATAAAGATGATTCTGTTGTCGAGTGGTATCCTACAAATTGTACATATAATAATTTCAATTTTAATCTCTACTTAATATAATGTCACAAAAGTTATAGATGCTTGAATGTCTTTAAACTCCATCAACTTACTTCACCATTTGTGTCTTCGGTTGTAATAAAAGTAAGTTTAAAATTTGTAACTGATAAAATGCCAGACGTTCCTTGTTTCAAATCGCTAACAGGAGAGAACATAAGAACATTTTGTGCTTTGGTGACTAGAATTTCACCGGGTAACAGTTTGATATTAGTTTCAGATAAAGAATTGCGTCGACTAGAACCCAGTGGCTACGAAAAATCAGATGACAGACAAAAGAACTAATTAATTCATAAATCTAGCTATGAGTAATTTTTAAATTGCCCCAATTGAGGTTATGTTCGAATGTTTACATAGGATGAAACAGACAATTACCTGCATTTCATGTTCCTCCAGGCCCACATAACTGACAAAATTGTAGCTTTTACTTTCCATCGCGAGCGTTTGAACGATTGCAGTTGATTGCATTGAACTAAAACCATAGAAATAATATCGTTCAACACCCGATTCTACTTAATTTCGTTTTAACTCCATTCTCCTATTGTTTATAAAAATTATTGTTAATCGAAGACCAGACATTTTCAAGTTTACAGGAAAGATTCACTTTCTGCTCCAAAATGAAACCGTGGTATATCCCCCTGCACGAATCATCCTGCATAATTTCTTTAGGTTTTCCTCTCCGTTTGCCGTTTTCATATTCCGTTCATTGCTATAGTTAGTGAAATTGTATTCGTTCACGGTATACCAGAAAAAGTCAACATCGCGTAACATGGACAGCGTTACTGTCTATTATTATCTTAAAACATTAATTGTATAAAAACGAGTATCAGATAATTGGCAAAAAAATACTATAATTAATTTGTATAAAAAATTAAATTTATTTTTATTGTAATATTTTATGAAACGAAACATGTAACATTTCTTTTACATCAATTATTGTTTGTAAATGATATTTTCATTGCTTTATATATTACAATTTGAAATACATTAATTTAATCATTATTTTTATGTCTTCTCATTAATCACTAATGTAGTTGAAAGGACACTTGGATTCAGACTCTTTGTTCTGTCTTTCAAATGCGTCTGCAGGATTTCCAGGAATTGCGATCTTTGTAAAAGATTATATGCGAGAGAAAGCATGTTTAACGCTTTGTTTTGAACAGCAGAGATACCGCTAGAAAATAGATCATGGCCTAATTCTAAGCACGTGCCGAAATCGCATTCATCAGCAGCTATCGTTGCCAACCTTATTACTTCCTCTAGTTTTGACATCGGTACTCTTTTAGCTTCGGCCGTTGAAGCTTCTTTAATTTGTTCCAAAATTTTTTGTAGTTCCCCTACAATTAAATTACAATTGCACTTAAATGTATATAAAATTATTGAAATAATTATTGTATTATGACTTACTATCAGTTACTGCTAAACTCCTGTATCCTAACTCAGTTTTTTTATTATATGGTACCACAATACCGGCTTTGTGAAAAGTTCTTGCAACTACTTGTCTTTCTCTAGCTTGCATATTTGCTGTTTGTTTATCTAGATTTATTTTATTTTCCTTAGCAAAATCTTTTAATTTTTTATGCAATAGGGCTATGCGAGTCTTTTCAAATGGATTTGATGATTTCAATTTTTCTTCAATATATGCACTGTAATGTAAGGTTTTAGTCACATTTTAATTTTTCTTTTTAAAGTTTCAAAATTCTTACTCAATTGCACCAAATATATTTTCTGCCACAGGTTCTATTAAACAATTGATAGCTGCTTTATTCTTTGCTATAAATATAGGTTTTTCAGCAATAACATCTCTCCAATAACCAAAGTGTAAGCCATCTTTATCATCAACCTTTACGATAGTCTACAAAAGATTGTATAATCATTAAATACAAGATAAATTAAAAGGGATATTTATTACAGACATCTTACTTGAAATTCTGGTGGATCATAATAATATCTCCAATGTTTTAATAATGCTTCTTTACTATCAACTTTAAAACTTAAAAATTCATCTCTGAATACATCATAAGGACCTACTAATTGTAAGTGAAGGTCTTTCAGTGCATTGAAACAATCTTTTTCATTAATATCTTTACACAATTTATAAAAGTGAAAGAAATCGTCTGGCATTTCAGTTAAGAACAAATGAGAAATAATTATTTTTATATCATTCTGAGATACTGTATCATTTTCAATATTAATATTACAATCTTTTAACAATGATGCAATTGTACATTGATTAATTACATCTTTTACATTATTTGTATTATCAGAACTTAATTCTGTAATATTTTTGTTATATTCGTCATTGTGTTTTGCAGTACTCTCTGCATCAGAAACAGTACAGTGTAACTTTTCATTGATTGTATCATCATTTTCCTGTTCCATCTTCCTCTTCTTTGGGAAATCTTTTGATGTTTCATTCTTATTTTCAATTTTTCTTTTTTTATTTTTTACACTGTCTTTCACACCTTTCCCTTTTTTCTATAAATTTTAAAATAAAGATATACATTTATAGCAATATAATAATATTGTTCATATATAACAATATACATACCATTTTTTTTCCGGGTGGATGTTTGTATTTCTCATGATGCACTGCATTTTTTTGATAACACTTTGTTCCATACTTGCATGGAATTCTTGTATCTTCTCTATAAATTTTGTGTTGTTCTTCCTCATTATCTGACATTACTTAGTAGAGTGGTTAAAAACAATTCGCCGGTATCGTATCGTACAATACCTATGACAATTTTACGAAGAAACTACAGTATATTACGGACAAATTGCAGTTTATGCTGCGCAGCTTCTCTGTAATTGGTTGAAAGGCACGTGTGCCCGATGTCATTTATTAAAACATCGAATATATATATCCAGTAATCTTTTACTTAATGTATTCTTGTATATTATCAGTTTTTTCGTTATTCATGTATATTTGTTCACCCTATATATAACCACGAAATGAGAAGCCGGTTATAGATAGTCATCATGTTAGTAGTAAAGAGTTTTCTGAAATTGGTTGAGATGCGCGATGTTGTTACAGCCCTTTCGTGAAACAAAATGAACGTACTGGGTACTTAATACAAGAAAATTATATATAATTACTTACAAAATCTTAAGTTCACGTAATACACTTTATTGTTATGTTACAGAAAAAATTAGTTTTTCGTCAATAAATATTGATAACGCTAAGATATATATTTTGTTTCACAACGTAAGCAGGATGAATTTTTTCGAGTAAAAATTGCTAGTTCGTAAAGATTCCTAAAGGAAACCGATAGTTCCCTTCTTGAAGAAATTTTTTCTACGTCTACCGCGTAACTTAACAATGAAGTTTGTGACACATTATCAGTGCTTCAGACTGATCAGACTTGATGATTTAATTTATGAAAACGTTTGTTGATGTATTGTTCAACGTTAAAGCTATATCTACTTCTTACGAAATTATCAGTTAAGAGGCGATAACGTTTTAAGTCGATCTTTGATCTATGAGAAAATGTTTGTCGTCGTATAACGATAATAAGTGGTTACGTAGGTAACATAATGGTATGTAACCTTATACACAAGCATTATTGATAAATAAAGTTACATGTCTGTTAATTGTTAAAGAAGTACTTTATATATATACATTTATAGAAAAAGATTTTAAAATAATGCCAATAATAAATTGAATATTTTAGATGAGGTGACACCTGGTTCTGCCATGCGGAACAGGTCAGTCAGTATTATTTTTGGCTCTCTTGTTCTGTGGGGTTTAATTACATATTTTTTGATTTCTGATCAACCAGTGAATAAAGAACAAGACACTGTACGTATCAAGATTAAAGTAGTGTTTAAAGTAAACGAATAATTAGTTTTACTATACTTCTTTTAGGCTAGGGTATCTAATCAAATTAGTAAATTGGAAAGAAGAATAAAGCAAGAAATAATATTGAATCAGGAGCTTCTACAGGATATTAAAGAGGATAAACAACGTAAAAGTATGCTTTAGTAATAATATTATATTATTCAAATTATGTTTGATGAAATAGATTCAAAGATATTTAATGCCTTAATTCCATTGTAATGATCTAGAAAAATTAGATACTGCAAATACAAATTCAAACGAAAAACAAAAAAATGCAAATCATATTAACTCGGATAAGATTTTGCTTAAAAAGGAGGAGAAGGAGGAAGGAAATACTGATAAAAACTCAAAATTCTTATACACAGAATCTGTAAGTATTATTATTCATTATTTAAAATCAAACAGTTAAAATATTTAAAATATAATTTCTAATTATTTTTGTTCATATAGAACAAAACTCACGAAGTTCCTAGAAAAGGAAAATTACCAAATGGATCTCCAATAATAGCAGTTTTGGTATTTTCTTGTAATCGTATTACTGTAAAAAGATGTCTTGATCAATTGATAAAATATAGACCTAGCTTAGAACAGTTTCCAATTATTGTCTCAGAAGATTGCCAACATCGTCAAACAGCTGAAATTATTAGTACATATGGAAATCAAATAATGCACATACAGGTATTATATACAGTTTTTTCAAAGTGATGTAGTATTCTAAATTTATGTATAATATTAAAATCAAAATATGTATTTTAGCAACCTGATCAATCTGATATTGAAGTACCACCAAAAGAGAAAAAGTTTAAAGGGTATTTTAAAATCGCACGCCATTATGGATGGGCTCTTAATTACGTCTTTTTTCAGCTTGGATACGATACTGTGATAATAGTTGAAGGTAGCTGTGCCATACTCATTATTGTAATTATTTTTTAATTGTATTAAACTATTTTATGTAAAATTAGTTTATTGTTACAGATGATTTGGATGTAGCTTCAGACTTTTTTGAATACTTTTTGGGTACTTATCCTTTATTAGTGTCTGATAATTCCCTATGGTGTGTATCAGCATGGAATGATAATGGTAAATCTGGTTTGGTCGATGAAAACGCGTCAGACATATTGTATAGGACAGATTTCTTTCCTGGATTAGGATGGATGTTAACGCGTCAATTGTGGTCAGAGCTTTCGCCAAAATGGCCCAAATCGTAAGTTCAATCTTCATTGAATAAATGACTGGTAAACATCGATTCTTTTCTTTAATTTAACAGATATTGGGACGACTGGATAAGACAACCCGAACAACGTCGTGATAGAGCTTGCATTCGACCAGAAATATCTAGAACAAGGACATTTGGTAAAACTGGAGTGAGCAAGTATGTATTTAAGTTATTCATTATACATTAAATAAAAGACAAATATGTTTATATTTAATGTATTGTTTACAGTGGAATGTTTTATGAAAGGCATTTAAAATATATAAAGTTAAATACAGAATATGTGCATTTTACCAAGATGAATTTAACTTATTTATTAAAAGTAAGTAAACATCTTATTCGGATTTCACTGGAACGATTTAATTGTAATCGCTAAAAATTTTACTAAAAAGTCATTCGGTAAAATGTTTGACAAAATACGTAAAATTTGATAATAATTTTATAGGACAATTATGATATTAATTTCGTCAACGAGGTATATCAATCGACAGTGGTGAGTTTTTTAGAGTTAAAGAGTGGGAAAGTTATGACACCAGGCGCTGTACGGATACCTTATTATTCACGTCAAGCATATAAAAATACTGCCAAGCAGTTTGGATTAATGGATGATTTTAGGGTAATTTTATAAGACCTATCAACGAAACTTCCTTAGAATAGAAACGTCGAATTTTTTAATGTCTAGTCGATCTCATCGTTAATTTATTTTTATCTAATGTTTATAATTAGTGCATTACTGCAGCATAGTAAAGTATGAAATAACGTTTTTGTAGAGTGGGGTACCAAGAACAGGATATCGTGGAGTGGTTACATTCTTCTATAAAGGGAGAAGAGTACATTTAGCACCCAGTCCAAACTGGAGTGGTTACGATATCACTTGGAGCTAATAAAACATTCACCATTACAGACTTATTTTTCAGATAAACATAAGTAATTGCTTCCACGAACTTCAACAGAGTTGAATGAATATTTTGATTATGTTGAATGCACAGTATGAACGATTGTTTGTTATAAATATCTTGCGCTAACGTGCAAAGCCAGTTCGTCAACTAGTTTAATCTGAATTAATGTAAAACACGTGTTGATGAATTAACTTGAAAACAATGTTTGCTTGTAATTTCTTTTTGTAGAAAATTTGTAAGCGAAATTGAAATGAACATTGTTACATAATATGAGATTTGCATAGTGCCTCAAAAATCGTACCCGCTGTTTGTGTATAGTTCTACACAAATATGAAAATTCTCGAAACCTATTCCTTCGATTACGAAGAAATTAATGATCAATCAAGAAAATAATATTTGGGAATTTCATATTTGCGTAGCGCTAGATGTTAAAATGATCGATATAAGGAACTTAGATTATTCGTGCAGTTTTCGTCTTATTTAATATGAAATTAATCGATCCGATGAACTCTGTTTTACATTAAAATATTTTTTACTATTTCAGAAACTTTGCTTTTTGAAACTTCATTTCTGTACAATAATAATAATATTAATGATGATTTTGTTTTACACGAATGATCTAATTTCTGTTGCCATGTATATAATGTTTATATATTATGTATGTATAGTTTATCAATGCAATTTTTCTTTTGCTTACTTTGATTTGCATTTTCTTATAGTATAAAAATTACAAATGAAAGCTGCAAAGAAGAGGATAGATCAATAATTATATTGTTGATCCTATAATTTATATTTTGCTTGTGGATCATAAGTAAAATATCATACCTGTAAATTTGCTACATTGTTTAGCTTTTAACTTTGAACTGTTAATTAAATTCTTCCAAGGATATTTTCATGCATGACAATACCAATATACATTACAAAGCTTACATTTGGTAAATACTTGTATTTATTCATTTCCTTTTTACTGAATGAATTATATATACTTCACAATTTCAAATAGAATAAATACAAAGATATATATGTTTACGATAGATATATTAACTAGAAAACAGATTTACAGCAGTACTAACAAATTAGTTTGACCAGTAACTTCTGTAACCATAATTTGGTGGACGATATGGACGACGCACCATCTTAGGTGTAGCATCTGGATAATCCGGTTTAGGTTCTTCTGGTTTTGGTCTCGGTGAGTCATGTACCTTAGCTTCACAAAAATATCCAAAAGATGGTCTTTCTATATTTAAGTTCTTCAAAACACAATCATCAAACACCTTTTGTGTCTTTCTGCACCTATTCATATTCAAATTATTATAATTTAAACATACTGAATAGACAAAAAAAATACTTAGTTTCTTTTAACAAGAACATACACATTAAGTTCCATACTACCAGTTGATCTTTCAAGACATGTTGAATAGCTATTAAATTCACTTTGACAATGTTTTTTAATACCCTGAAATACTTCTATTGCACAAGCAGTTACATTTTTTCCTTCATTGATACACTTTCGAGGGTCGTGCAATTCTTTTTTACATAACATGAACTCCTACAAGTGAATCAGAGAATGTAAAACAAAATATGAAAAATTTCATTATAATCGATAAATGAATTTTGCAACATTTTATATTAACACTGAATGATTTACAGTAGACCAATAATTAAATATTTTCAATAAAACGATAATTGTTAGCTTTGAAATATTACTCTACTGTCAATTACTTCAGAAAAGATTTAGGAGCGTTATGTAATCTTTGCAAATAGAATAAACAGAATTAACTAAAATTAATAAAAGCTGAACATAGTGAAAAGAAACTCACATTATTGTGCCATTCACATTTCTTTCCAACATAGACAGAAGCAGCTTGCAAAGCCGGCCAGCTAACATTTATTTCTTGTACATTTAATTCTTCGTCCGAAGGAAAAACAGTATCCTTTGTTGCAACCATGTTAATCAATGATATCACTAACCAATTACAATGTAATGATCATGTAATTTTATCATATAATTAATTTAATAAGATTGTAAGATCAAAAACTACAGCTTTATTTAAAACGCATGACTTTATTGACATTAAGGTTTCACTTATACAGATATTATCTTGTAATAGAGCTTCAAAAAGATGCAGGTGCCCTCTTCACTTTGTTTTATATTTCTTTAGTCATATGACTGCCTTTAGTCAATGGTTATCGTCTAGTACATTCGAGAGCAAATTTGGTTTTCCTAGAGGAAAATAATGTTCAAGAAATAAAGGTATTTTTGAAATTGATAACTAATAACATTTTTACAAATATAAATAGTATTTATCAATCTTGAAAATGCTTTTTGTGAATTAAGCTTAATACATGTCAGTGCGCGGATGCTATTGGTCGTTATCAGTAGAAACCTGTTTCTGATTGGTTTAAATATACCAATTGAAAGCAAGGATAACCTACGTACATTTCTGTGACAGAACGTATATACCCAGTGATATTTTATATTTATAATTCTTGTGTTATTATCTATTTCTCCCTATTATTTGTATATTTGTTTATTCTGTAAAGTATATAGTGATCGAAAAAAGTTAAGAGTGCAGGAGCGTAATGAAATTAACTGTGTTGCGTGAATCGAGTATTATCTACAGCGAAACAAATAAATATCACAAATGGAATATTCACAAGATGGTATAGTGACAGTATGTTTACCTTTAGTACGTATTTCAATATGGCGACGGGTCGTTTCGTTATTTTACTCCATTCTTGAAATTTTAAAATATTCATATATAATAGTTGCTTTTTAAAATAGATTTTTATGAAGATTTTGCAGACTAATTATATGCAACCATGGCCGACAAAAGGCAACAGAATTTATCGGTAGGTATTCCGAGTTTGTTACAATTTATATACAATATTACATTATTTGGAGCAAACAATTTAAAAGGAATAGCTGCATTTATAGTTTCTTTTAATTTATGGAGTATTCGTGGAAATTTAATATAATTTTGTAATGAATTTATAATGAAATTTTATATTGAAAATATAAAATCTATTTACAAAATCAAATTTATATTTTGTAGAAGGAAGAAATAGCAAAACAGTTTATGTTACCAGAGAGAAAAAGTAAGATTGCCACATTATTGAAACAAGATGGACAAGCATATTGCATATGTAGAAGTTCTGATAGTTCACGTTTCATGATGTAAGTAATAAAAGAAGTACTTTGTTAAAAAGTATTGTTCTGTTATTTATTTATTCTTTATTAATGTCAGTATTATTCTAGAGGATGCGATGCATGCGAAGAATGGTATCACGGCGATTGTATAAATATAACAGAAAAAGATGCCAAACATATAAAACAATTTTTCTGTATTGTAAGAAGTTCTTATCTAATTTTTATCTAATAAATTATTAGATAAATTATATTAACTAATAAATTATATTAACAAAATATATCTGTAGCGTTGCAGAGAGGAGGATCCAACACTGATAACACGTTATAAGCCTAGAAAAACTGATCAGGAAGATCGTAAATATAAGAAACATAAAGAAAAAGAACGTGCGCATCGATACGAGTACGATGCACCTTGGGATCCTACAGTAGTAAAAAAATCATCAAAACGTTGTGGAGAATGCACAGGTTGTTTAAGAACGGAAAACTGTGGTAAATGCGATGCATGCAGGTAAGAACAATGTGTTACAGTTGAGGGTATAAATTGTTACCATTTATATTGATATTTGTTGTTACATAATTGCTAGACATCTGAAAAAATTTGGGCCTTCTGTACGATTAAAGCTTAGATGTATACAAAGGACTTGTCGCGTGCTAGGCGACCCACTGAAACCCTCAAAAAGCTTCAATAAAAGTTCAAAATTCATTAAAAAACGTAAAAGAGATTCGAGCAATGAAAGAAACGAGTATCTTGAAGTACCAAGACACTGCTACGGACCGGCTTGTACAAAAAATTCAAGACCTGGTAGCAAATATTGTTCCGATGAATGTGGATTGAAATTAGCAACTAACAGAATTTATCAAGTACTACCTCAACGGATACAAGAGTGGTCATTGACACCATGCATTGCAGAACAAAATAATAGGCGACAATTAGAAACGATCAGAAAACAACAACACGATGTTAGAAGAATACTTCAAGAACTAGATAAACGACACGCGGAGTTAGATAGAATTATAGAACGCGCGAAGCATGCAACGATCGATCCACAAGCGGAAGTGGATGATAACGATGATACCGAAATGAGCATGTACTGCATCACTTGTGGGCATGAAATCCATTCCAGGACAGCTATCAAACACATGGAAAAATGTTTTAATAAGGTAATTCGATAACAAAATCAATGTAATCGTTTATTCTTTTTTATTAATAATTATCTCTTGTTCGTTTATATTACAGTACGAGTCCCAAGCATCTTTTGGTTCAATTTTCAAAACGCGAATAGAAGGACAAGTGATGTTTTGTGATTTCTATAATCCTGCCAATCGGACTTACTGTAAACGATTGAGAGTTCTGTGTCCTGAACATTGCAAAGATCCGAAAATAAGTGAAACGGAAGTGTGCGGTTGTCCCTTGGTTACAAACGTATTCGACACAACTGGTGAATTTTGTCGTGCCCCCAAAAAAAGTTGCGTGAAGCACTACGTTTGGGAAAAATTACGGCGAGCGGAGATTGATATGGAAAGAGTAAGGCAGTGGTTAAAAATAGATGAACTGGTGGAACAGGAAAGACAAATTAGAGCAAATATGGCTACTCGAGCTGGAGTTTTAGCTTTAATGCTACATTCTACTTACAATCATGAATTAATGGAACAGATGACACAAGAACAGAACAGAGAACAATTAGAAGCCATGGAAGAGGAATTTCAACGAAGATATGGTTTACTACAGAAAGAGCCAACTGCAGATTAATGATTTACATCATACTTAAAAATATTTAATAGTTAATAGTGCGTCGTAGATTATAACATATCTCCATAAAGTGTTCAATTCCGTATTTGTATGTATATTATGTAATGCAATATAATGTAAATCGAATTGCTAAAAAGCATACCAAGATATATATTGTAAAATGCAATTGTACATTGTGACAAAGTTTTATATATATCGAGAATACCGTATAGATATTTAGCATTAAATATACATTGTACTTATTATTGTACATAGCATTAATAACACTTTGTTGCGTTAGAATACATGTCGTTTTTTTACGTAGTATTAAGTAAGAAAATCACGTTATTGTAATTTATAACTGCAAAGAGAAATAAAGAATAAAATGAAGAAAAATGGCGTATTCATTTCAAAACCCTATAACATTAAGTCTTTTATTTTGAAATTTGGTATCAGGAAAACATGAGTCGCGAGGAGGTGGCACAAAAATCTTTTTGAATCCAAATTCTGGTTTTTGAAATTTGGTATCAGGAGCACATAACCCGTGAGGAGGTGGCACGAAAATTTTTCGAGCAAAATTCCGGATTTTGAAACTTGGTATCAGGAGCACATAACCTGTGAGGAGGTGGCACGGAAATTTTTCGCGAAAAATTCCGGATTTTAAAACTTGGTATCAGGAGCACATAACCCATGAGGAGGTGGCACGGAAATTTTTCGCGCAAAATTCCGGATTTTGAAACTTGGTATCAGGAGCACATAACATGTGAGGAGGTGGCACGGAAATTTTTCGCGAAAAATTCCGGATTTTGAAACTTGGTATCAGGAGCACATAACATGTGAGGAGGTGGCACGAAAATTTTTCGAGCAAAATTTTGGTTTTTGAAATTTGGTATCAGGAGAACATGAGTTGCGAAGAGGTAGCACAATAATTTTTCAAAACAAAATTCTGGATTTTGAACTTTGGTATCAGGAGAACATGAGTCGCGAGGAGGTATCCTTCGTGCCACTTCCTGGAATTTTGATGACGTCAAATTCCAAGAATTCCCGCGCGGGATTTTTAAAATTCCACCGACCAATTTTGAGAATTTGTATCAGGAGAACATAAGTTTCGAGGAGGTATCCCTCGTGCCACTTCCTGGAATTTTGGGGCACAATAATTTTTCAAACCCGAATTCTGGATTTTGAAATTTGGTATCAGGAGTACATAACCTAGATGGAGGTGGCACGGAAATTTTTCGAGCGAAATTCTGGATTTTGAAATTTGGTATCAGGAGCACATAACACGTGAGGAGGTGGCACGGAAATTTTTCGAGCAAAATTCCGGATTTTGAAGTTTGGTATCAGGAGCACATAACACGTGAGGAGGTGGCATAGAAATTTTTCGAACCAAAATTACGGATTTTGAAATTTGGTATCAGGAGCACATAAAGTTCGAAGAGGTTTCGCAGAAATTTTTCGAGACCGAATTCTTGTTTTTTAGGTTTACATTTTTTTCCGCTATTTTTTGTAGTTCGTTTTTAATTTTTCGCTTCGAATAATTTTGTTTAATGTTTTTCAACGCTTGGGATTGGGTTCGTAAATAAATACTCAGTGCATTCCTTTTATTGAATTTTTATTAAAATTAATAGTACATACAAGTTTGAAATACATAAGGATCGGTACAATATAATTAATCGGTGCGCAAATAACAATATAACAATCATGGCTTATATCTAGGTTTACATATTATACAAATAGTAAATTACAATGGTAAGTTACAATTACAGTGTAAGTAATAATGCTAACGTATAGTGTATAATGTGCGATTTATAGTGGTTTATTCTTCTTGGATTCGCTTCGTCACGTCGAAGAAGTAGTTGAAGCGTCGAATGACGTAGAATGACCTCTTCATTTCTGCAACACAGTAAAATGCAAAATTATTTTTAATTAAAAGAATAAAATAATTCAATTAATAATGAAGCGTGTTCATCGTAGAAGTTGCAAGTACTTGCCTGAAATAGAACGTGTCGAACAGAACTGGCCACAACACGTAAATGCTACCTTGTGTCCGCTTTTCACGAAGGTTCAGGAAAGACTATCGATGGTATCATCAAATACTACTTGTTAAACTTGTCACTTTTTCTACTTTCTGCTTCTCCCATCGTCTTTCCAAATTTCAAACGAGATGTAATTGGTTCTCGCCATGTCCAATTCTGAAATATAAAGATAAAGTGATTTATTAACTATTTCCTCGTATCACATTTATTCAGCATGTTATTGAAAGTAATTAGTTATTAATATTTTGTTCATTTATTAGATATAAAGTATAGACAGATCGACAGAAAAAATGTTTGGTCAGCGCCATCTAGCGGTTGGCGTTTCGAAACTACTTCTAGTATCAGGGTCACAGAAAACTATAGGAGGTACGCGGAGCAGAAGGTATTCCGCGCAGCGTCGCGCATGCGCAATAGAATAATCGTCGTGTAGAGAAAAAAAAATTAATTACTCATTTTCTGAACATAATTTATGAACTTTTATGATCGACGATTTATTATCTATCTTCTCATTATATATTTGTTCGGATTATTCACGAATGCAGTGTACTACTCTTACATTTGCAACGGACTATCGATAACAAATTATTTTCAATAAAATACTGATCAAACGCGACGTTGAAAAATGGCTAATGAACCTGTGATCGTTCTTCGATCATGAAAGTTCACAAATTATGTGCAGGAATCGAATAATTAATTATTCTATATCAGCGTTCTAACATGGGTGGAGTCAAGCGACGCCATCTTATAAAGCCAGCCCCCCACCGGTTCCGGTGCGCATGCGCGACGCGTCGACTCCACCCCTGCCTACTGCGCATGCGCGACAGGGTGCTAGGTGGGCGGTGCTAATTCGGTTCTACTGCGCACGCGCGACAGTGTCCGGGGGGCGGGCCCATTCCAGCTACACTGCGCATGCGCGACGCCATGCTGGTTTTGACACCGCGCAGGCGCGGACCTGCGCGGGAGACCTACCGCGCATACCTCCTTTGCTTGCCTGCGTTCCTGATACCAAGAATTACTCCCGGTCTTCGTCCGATAGATGGCGCTGTCGTTATTGTTTTTCAGTAGACCTATCGTGTTCGAATTAATATATCGAATATTGATTTTTCCAATTTGGAAAGGGATAACGTGCATGAAATTGCTTCCAAGAAGCAAGAATAATTGATTCTGAATCGTTTCGAAAGCGTTGACGAGCGAGGAAAATTGACAAACGAAACATTTTTATTTCGATATTCAGTTCCATTAGTTCCTACCTTTCACCGCTAGATGGCTGGGTTTTTCGAGGTTCACGAAATACAGATTTTCTAATTTTTCGAAAAACGAGAGTTCCGTAGTATCGTTTTACCGACTTCATTCTGTTCGTGGAACAATCTGAAAAAGTTAACGAGACAGAGTAACGCGTTATTAATTATTCAATGTTCGAATAATTCCGGCGCGCATCGCTAGATGGTGCTTATTAAATTTACGAAACGCTTTTAAATCGTTTAATTAATCGGTTTGCAATGAACTATCGATTTCGGAGCAGAGAATTAACTTACGTTTGATCGAAGTTGGTGGCATCGTCTGTTCGAAACGTAAAGTATCGTGGAACGTCGATACTTTGGGCGAAGGTCGATCGATCTTTGGGAATTTAAGAAGGGATACATGTACATGCGAAATCATCTGGTTTAATCAATAATCAAAGTATAATTAAACAGTAAGAATACATTAAGTGTATAATGGTATACCGTTACAACCGATGACACGAAATGCAATTTCCGAAATTGTCATATAAATATGATTCAGCTACCCGCGCACAGCTGATGGCATCGTTCAATTTTTCAAGTGTTCCGTTGTTTTCACTTTATCTAAGGAACTATCGTAATAACGTTTAGGAGGAAATTAGCTTTTCTTACGTATTTATCGTTCGGTAAGGATAACTCGATTCGAAAGGAACGATGCACGCGAAGCACGATGGTACGATAGCTGGATGAACGGAAGATAAATTGGACAGCAAACGAGAGAAATACAAGGAATCAATGTACCGTTTAATGGAAATTCTATTATAATTTGTCGTGTTTTCGAAACTCCTATTTATAAATTTAAGATTATTGGGCATCTGTTACGAAAGCCAACAATAGCAAAAACTGTTCTACCTTCGTTTTGTATAATTGTGTATTTCTCTTTATTTATAACGTTCAATTAAACTTTTGTAAATTCAAATTCATAATATAATTTTCCATTACCTATTTTTAGTGTTCACAATATATCATTTCACATTATATGATTGCACATGTGAAACAAATCAATAACTCGTTATATGAAACATAATTCCAACTTTTCTAAAATTTACCACACTTTAACTTCAATAAATATATTACTTGCTTAATTATAACCAGTTAAGTTCCGACTCGTCGCTAGAAAGGATACTCTCTCAAAATACTTCAGAATTACAACAAGTTCCAATCATAACACAGGATATTACATATTCTGGCACAGTACAACTCTCCTGTTTTATTACTGCTGAATATACATATAAATATACACGTATACATATTCAGAATACATATATATACATACATACATATGATACACATATTCTGAATATATATAAATATATACGTATAATTTCGCGCGTGTATGCGTGTGTGTGTTCGTGTCTGTCCGTATATCTATATATACGTGTATAGGTTATATACGCGTACGTATATATATACTTTTTACAGTTCGGTACGTTTTTGATGGAAATCGTGTGAGAATCAAAACGCACGCTCTAGCTTCCTCTCGGTATCGGTACTGGCATAACCCATTGACAATGGAATAAACTCGAATATCCCCAAAAGATTTTGGGTGAAACTCGCTATAAATAACTAGCTTAATATATTTAATATTTGCCAAATGTTGCGCTCGATACATTTGCAAAAACAATCTGTGTAATTCTAAAATTTTTACTCGGAAACAAAGGCTTATACCAAGATTCAGTTCGGAAATTTCCCTCATTGTTTTTTCTTTTTCTCCTTTCCTTTTCCTCCGGCATCGGCAAATCCTTATTGTATTCGCGACGTCGATCTTTTCGGTTCCACTGTCAACTCGGTTATTCGTTCGAGTCCATCGTTTCGTTCCTGTGTTCGCGCACGTAAAAATATACACGTTCCAAGCAATTATACTCGCAGCGTGAACGCGCGCTGTTTCGTCATCGTCTGCCAGCGGCTTCCGCGATTGGCAAAGCGTCGATCGATAGCCCGGAAATCCAGTCGTCGAGAAAACGACGGAAATATAACAAGTATTTTTTTTTTTTTTATTATTATTTAATATATCTCGATTCTGAGCGCGTGCACGACATAGCTAGAATTTACGTATTATTAAGTGT